GAATTCTCTGGATTTTTCTACAATCTGCCGTACGTTTAAAATTTGTTCTCTAGTACCACGTCCGGGGACGAAACCTGCTTGTTCCTCCGCAATGTTAGGTAGTAAAAAGGGCTTTATCCTCTCGAGAATTATGTGTAAGAGTATCTTACTGAATGCGCATTAGAGCAATTGTGCGATAGTTGCTACATAAATCTTTCGCTCCCTTTTTATGTATGGGAATATATAGTGATTGTGTCCAGTCTTCAGGCCATTTACCTCTCTCCCACATTCTTTGACAAATTTGATGTATTATATCCACTCCAACGTCATCTAGGGCCCAAACCCACACGGGATATAAGAATCATAAATAATCTGTATTATGAACAAGAAGCTGTTACCAAGAATAAATAATTTATAAACTAATAAAATAATAATCAAAAGAGGTGTTAGATAGGAATGTGTCTTGTCGCCATTACTGTTTAATGCATACTCAGAGGAAATATTCAAAAAAGCGTTAGAAGATTTAGTAGAGGCATAAAAATAAATGGCCTACCCATACGTGAAATTAGATATGCTGATGATACAACACTAATAGCAGAAAATATTACAGATTTACAAAGAATTTTAGATAAGGTTGTTGCAACGAGTGAAGAATTTGGTCTGTCACTAAACATACATAAAGCAAAATTCATGGTTATACCAAAGAAAAATATTAGATACATCAATCTACACGTAAATAATGATACGATGGAACGAGTTCAGAATTATAACTATTTAGGGGCAAACATTAATGAAGCAAACGATGATACCAAAGAAATTAGAGTTAGAATAGAAAAGGCTAGAGATCTTTTGTGGAGACCTCAGCCTAAATCTTAGAAAACGAGTACTAATTGTTATGTATTTTCTGTTCTTTTGTATGGTGTGGAGACATGGACTTTAAATAAACAATGTCTCAATAAAATGGAAGTATTTGTAATGTGGACATATCGAAAAATGCTGAGAATCTTCTGGATAGACAAAATAACCAATGAAGAAGTACTAAGAATAATAGAGAACAGCGGCAGAGAACTACGAACGCAGAGAAGCGACACTCCTTTGATCTTGCGTGGGCAAGCCGCCAACGAGTGAAAATGACAGGAAAGCACCTTATTTTTTAATAGTCAGTGGGCATATTACACAATATAAATTCTTAAATAAAATTGAGCATTTATGTTGACTTTCAATAAATATGAAATATTGCACTGAAAAAATAATTACATGCAGGGCCGGCTTTTGTTGACATTCTAAATGGTGTAATTATTTTTGATTTACAAAAGGTTGCAAATACATCGCACAACGCAAAGTAATGGTGAAAATCGTATTGATGGAACCATAGATGAAAATACTTTTTTGTTTATTCTGATGTTGACGTTGATAATACAATAATACACCGATTCTTTTTGGCTTGTGTTGATACAAGATATAATTTATTTTTTATTATATTATTTATTATTATATTATTTATTATATTATTTTTTTTTGACAATAAGATTATCTTCACAATGTAGTTCACAAATCCTATAACTATTATAAAGTATATCCATTTTTAACAATAAATCTTCTCGTCTGCAAGCTTCTATCCACATTTTGGCACTACAAATTTTTAACAGAACAAATTTTAAACAAAGAATTTTTTGTATTTATAAATAATACTTCATTACTTACAACTATAAGAGTATTAGTATATTCTAAGTGTATTGTAAGTAATGAAGTATTTAACTTTTGTCAATATCTCATCTTAATAAATTTACAGTTTTCTCCTAATTAAGTCTCAAAATTGTCACTAAATATTGAGATATACAATAAATAAAGTTTTAATATTTTTTATTTGTAATTCCCATTTAAATATTTATTCCCTAAATATGTTGTGTACTCCGATCCATATATTTGATCTTTGTTATTTATATTTAACGAATTAAACATTGACAGACAACTTTTGTATATAGCAAAAAGTAGATGAGCATTTAGTTTTTTCATAATTTAATGTAAGTTTGTTTGGTGAAAAAGACAGCAAATATTTGAAGTTATGTTAATGTAAGTTTGTTTATTTGCAATCATGTTTTTATTTTGAAGTCTTGTTCTGTTATAATTTTAAGATTTTCCCAATTTTCGATCTAATTATGTTTCCAACAATTTTTAGTTTGAGCATTTTAGGAATTTCTTTGTTTCGTTTAAATCAAATATTCTCGTGTATAAAACCCTCTATATATTTTTATTTCCTAAAAATACTATATTCGTATTGTTGTCTGCGAGCGCTTTCACACCAGTAGGCCAACATCTGTGTTGATTTTTTGACCTGAGCCTTCGGAGACAATAAATTTAATGTGTGTTCGTAGTTCTCTGGTTTTTATTCTGAACTATCCCTTGGCAAACCAAAATTTATTTTTTTATTGCTTCACTTTACGAGAGCTCGGGCGGACACGTCGGTGTCGGCTTACTCAAAGTCAAATTAATACTATTATGTAATAACTAATAATAATTACAAAGCAATAGTAATTACCTGTTATTATTCTTAGGAAATCTAAATAAACTTATTCCTTTTCCTGTCACAGATGAACATCCGCGAAACGCACAACAATAACCAGAAGACATTTTAAATACTTATAAATTAAACTTTTAACTATAAACTATAACTATAAACTTATATATTTTAACTATAACTATAAACTATAACTATAAACTTTTAACTACTAAATAATTAGATAAATGGTCAAATGCACTTGTATCAGACTTGTATAGTCGAGAGTTTACCACAGATGCCTACGGACTATCGTAAGCAACTTAAAGTTGAAGAAAACGCACGTGTTTTTGACAGTAAAGCACCTTATTTGGGTCATGCGTATACAGAAAAGAGACACGAAATCCGGGCCTCGTGTCGCTTCTCTGTGTTCGTATGTTCTCTGACAGCGGGAAGATACTGGATTCCGTTAAAATATGAAAACTACAATATCTGGGTCATATAACACGTGGTGACAGATATGAATTCCTAAGACCATTTGTAGCATTTTATATTGAGATCCCCTCGTATATGAAATATATTGAGAAAATAAAACGAAGAATTTTTTCCATGTTTGTTATTCGTATCTTTCAAGTTAAAATACCCAAAAGTGTTTTCAATCATTTTAGCGTTTCCAAGTAATAAAACCATTTGAGAGTTGTTTATTATTTTAAAGATAAATACTTCGGCGATTTCTTTTAATTTGTATACGTCGCAAATGGAATCTTTTACGTTGTTTCGTTATGTTTTTGTTATGTCAGCGTTTGTTTTATTTTCAAGTTATATGAAAGAAATTTTAAATGCGTCATTCGTACTTGGGTTGCCGGTGGAGTCAGGTGTGACCAAATAGATTCATACTTGGGCCTTCGAAGTGTTAAGTATGGATCTAATTCATACTTGGGTCTTTGTATTGTCAGGTATGGATCCGAATTCGTCGTCGAATTCGTGTTTATCCTATTTTGGCCCTTTTTGTGGAAGTATGAGGCAGTAGAAAAAATAATTTGTGTGGTGTTCCAGAGCATGGTACAATTTTGAAGACATATATAGGATGTCCCACTAGCTTTTTTTGGTCGTTTGCCTGCTTGATCCAACCCCGTCTATGTCAGATTTTCGTTCCAGTATGGAATTGGTTTCCCCTTGTTCCAGAGTGTCGTCCTAGCAGCTCCAATCCAGAGATGTAACAAGTTTTTTTTTTAATTCAAGTGGAAATATGTGAATTCAGGTAACTGCTTTATTGTTTTGTTTAATTTCAAAGCAAAGACAGATATTTTTTAAAAACAATAATTGCTTTCGTTAAAATTTAGAAATTGTAACATTTAAAAATTGTAATGCGGTAACATTTGTAAGTTTTATGTAATATCTCCAACTCCTGGAGTTTGTAAGCGGATGACACACGTAAGTTTTTTATATTCTTATAGTTCTCCATGTTGTAACTGTTTGTGGTGACACAAAAATAAATGTTAAATTTTGTTTTCTTAACATTTTATTTATTTTTTTGAACTAACCCTTTTTTGATTTTTATTTGAAAAAGATATGAACTTTGAAACTTGAACTTTGAACTTTGAAAAAGATATGTTTTTGATGTTTTATAATTATTCCCCTAGTTACAACTAGTGGTTGTAATAGGTATAATTAGGCACCTCAAGTGGCGCCCTATATTAAATTCCTTGAGGTGTTTCCTGTTTATTTTTATTTTGTTTATCCCAAGAATTTAATGACCCCTTTATTTCATTTTTTGTAGTTGCCCCAATCCAACCCCCTTATCTTTTACTTATCCACGACCCCAGCTCTCCTACCAAACCCTGAGTGCCGTTCGCACAAGTAGCGATTATTTTGCTTGCCCTCTCTCTACTCCCATAATCTTACCCCATGTGGTAGGCAAAATATCTTCGTTACACATTAATGCAGGGAAACATTCAAGGAAAGCGCAGCATAGGTAGAAGAAGAATGTCCTGGCTGAGAAACCTCAGAGAATGGTTTGGATGCAGCTCAACTGAACTCTTTCGGGCTGTAGTGTTAAAAGTAGAATAGCAGTAATGATTGCCAACCTTCGTCGCAATCGACACGTCGGAGAAGACACGTAAAGAAGACGACTGTTTTCTTGCATTATTTGTTTATCGTCAATTCGCAAGTTACTGCTTTTAGCATATTTCTGATGTATGGGGAGTAAATATTACGTAAACATGTCTTATTTGCAGACAGCTGTAATGACAAATGATGTCAGTTGACATTTTTCAATATAAGCAACGGAAACAATAACGTTAAAAAACTTCATCATATCTGACAAGGGATACAAAGAACAAACAACGAGACCACATTAGAGTCACATTAGAACCATTAGAGTTACCACATGTTTCAAGATAGCCAACTGAAATATTAAGGTCAAAAGACGTCATTACTTCTGAGGACTTAATCATATAGGTATTGTGTTTAATCCTTTAACCATCGATAAGGTTTAAATAAGGCTTCACAGTATTTATTTACTTTAAAATATTTTATTATCATATTTGAGTTTATAAAGGTTCAAAATGTACTTAATATCTTCGGCCCAAGTCTGCTTGAAGTCTTCGTTGGCTTTTATTATTTTATTGTCCAGAAAATCATCAATTCCTTGGTTTGTTGATGTTATTTTTTCTTGCAGAACCAACAGGAAACTTTCAGGAGTTTCGTATGTTTTTTGGGAAGAAAGCGAATCTAAACTGAGACTTTGAAAAACGGTTTCCAATTGTAGACTAGACGATTTGGTAAAGTACTTTTGTATATTTTCCATAGTATCTGAAAAGGAAATAATTACAAACAATTTTGTTAGATAAAGACAGTAGCCTAGGTAGGGCAGATGTGAGTGTATCCACCAGTTGGTGTAGAATGATCTTGGTTTAATCCCAACTATAAAAATTAAAATAGCATTGCTCAGCTTAACGCTTTGAAGCACCTGGCAAATCACGAATCTGCTTAGTACTACTCTTCCGGAGTCGTTAAACTGTAGGTCCCGTATATCAGAGTAGACTTAGAATATATACAAACTAGATATCTGTAGAAGAGAAGCCTACGCTCAAACTTAGGTATGGCATATTAAGAACGACAGTACTAGGTGCTATGAAAGACAGCTGTAAGGACAAACTTTGCTAATAAAGTCGATATTTTCTAATTATACTGTGGTTTGCAGTTAATACCATGTTTTAGACTTATTTTTATTTATGACTTCTGAGTTCCAGTGAATGGTCGCCAAAGATTCCTGACGGCTGCAGCAGACATTGACAAAGTCTGTCGCATGCGCAAACGAAATATCAGAGTCATAATTTTACTTTTCGGGTTATTGGCGAATTTGAATGTACTTTTAGCTCTAATTTGGTCGTATCTCGTAATCATAATGGAGAAGATCCACATCTATCACTATCCGAGATATATATATATATTATATATATTATATATATTTTATATATATTATATATATTATATATATATATATATATATTAATTATATATATAATTTATATATTATATTTATATATATATATATATATAAATATATATATATATATATATAATATATAGATATCTATAAGGTTCTTGAACTCCTAAGTGGAGCATAGAGCTTCAGTGAAAACGCGCCATCGGGTTCTATTTTGCGCTAAGGCCTTCACCTCATTCAAGATATTTAACTATCCGAGATAGAATAAACATATTTTCTGTAACTTCTTACCTCTGCTTAGTGGCACTGGATGGGAGTCTTCTTCTTCAGTGTATACTATAGGAGAAAGAAACTGGGTTTTCGTTTCTAGTTGTCGTGTAAGATTTGTAATTAAGGCTTGTATCCTGGAGTCTGCTGCTAAGTCAGTAATCAATAGCTGCATTTTTTCTAATTCCTCGTTAAGTAAATTGTATGTTTCGTTTAAATGCTCCTGTAAAATAAAACCATTGTTACATAATTCATGATCCGTAAATAATAAATCGACAATTGCGTGAATTAACAAGAAATCACATCAATTTCTCAGTGCGAAATTAATGTCTACGGAAGGACGTGTCTGATTCAACACATCAGAGGGTAAAGGAAAGTCGGTGGCTACATTCAACGCATGTAGTCGCTGGATAGGACGGAAAAATTATCGATTTCGTTCAACTCACCAAGTCGACGGAATGAAATACGTTCAGCTCACCTGTTCCGGTAGGTAGGTATTCTTCGTTCAACCACGTTCAACACACCAAGAATGACCACTAATGGATTTCTGCTTAGTTTTTTATACAGCCAGTAACGGTATGAAAATTGTTCTGTTGAATACATAGGCGTACTCTAGACTATAAGATTAAATTATTTGTTGTGTATATAGGTGTAATGTAATTTAAAATTGTGTTGTAGAAATGTATTTTATATTCGTTTATTTCACTTACTAATTAAACATGTGCGTGGTAACTTATGTAGGTATCTTATATGCTATATCCCTATCTGTCAAGTGTAAAGTGTATTGTCCCCTGACATCCGTCAAGTGACAAGTGTCATGTCATGGAACTCCTAAAGGTCAAGAGTCAAGTATATGACACTCTCCTCCTCGTAAGGAATTACATACTAAACTTGTAAGGTTAGAAAAATAAAAACAATAACATAATACTTACAAGTCCAGCCTAACAGGTTTTTTTATCACCCGTTGGGACCTTCGTAGTACGGGGGCGTCATCTGAGCTAGCTGCAGTATTTGTAGTGTCTAGTATTTGTGGTAAGCAAGTTGGAGTATTATTTGAATCATGTACATCTTTATCTTGAACTGAACTAGAACAGGGTGCTGCTTCATTTGGCGCAAAAGTATTTGTAACAATTGGATTATTACCCAGGTCAAAATGTGTTGGTTGTATATTAATGTACATAGGTGTATTTTCCCCTATAGATCTGATTTGATCTATATGTCTTTTCCATATTCTTGTATCGTCTAACTGTATAAGGTAGTGCAATTTCCCTAGTTTACGTTTGACTCTACCAAATTCCCATTTATCAGCATGTATGTAATCACGAGTCTCTACTCTCTCCCCCACCTCTAAGTTTCTTACCTTGGGATGGTTTTGATTTTGTACAGGTGTTTTGTAAAATGGTTTCAATAAATCTAATCGTGTTCGGATCTCTCTTCCAAACATTAAATTTGAAGGACTGACACCAGTTGTACTATGTGGTGTTCTTCTGTAATTTAGTAAGAATTTGTTAAGCTGTAGCTCCCTTTCATTATTATCTCCTTTTTGTGCACGTAGCGCTTGTTTTAATGTTTGTACGTACCTCTCTGCCATTCCATTTGTAGCTGGATGGTAGGGTGCACTGAATTTGTGAAAGATTCCATTTTGCTGTATAAATTGTTTAAATTCATAGCTAGTAAATGTTTGTGCATTATCTGAAACTAAACAATTTGGAATTCCAAATGTACAAAAAATTTTCCTTAGCAAGTTTATGGTAGTTTTGCTTGTCAAATCCTTCACTATATGTATTTCTGGCCATCTAGTATAGGCATCCACTAGAATAAAGTAGTATGAATTCATGAAAGGTCCTGCAAAATCTATGTGCACTCTTTCAAAAGGGGTTCTAGGTGTCTCCCATGGGTGTACTACTGTTTTCTCTGGATTATTCCTGATTTTGTTGCAGTCTGTACAATTTTTGCATACATCTTCTATATCTTTAGAAATTCCTGGCCACCAGCAGTATCCTCTTGCAAGCATCTTCATCTTGACTATGCCAAAATGAGCAGTATGTAATTCATTTAAAACTTTTTTACGTAGGTTAGTTGGAATAACTGCCATTTGTTGCCGAAAAATACAATTTCCTTGTAAAGAAAATTCTATCTGTGGGACATTAAATCTATCCCTAGCATCAATCAGTTTTCCAGTTCCTAGAGCATTGTAAAGATTTTGTAGTGTGGGGTCTCTTGTAGTTTCAAAACTTAATTCCTTAAAAGTAACAGGTAAAGTTTCTATTTGACTGATTTCAAACTGATCTCCCACGTCATAATCAAATTCAGAAGTATTATCAAGAGGTAATCTTGACATTGCATCAGCATTTGCATGGACTTTAGTATTTTTATACTTAATTGTGTAATTAAAACTTTGAAGAAACAGTGCATAATGTTGCATTCTGGTTGTAGTTAGTGTAGGTAAATTTTTAGATGGAGAGAATATTTGAATTAAAGGTTGATTATCCACATAGAGTGTAAACTCTCTACCAAATAGATAATAGTAAAATTTTTTAATACCAAAAATTATGGCATATGCTTCTTTATCTATTTGAGCATATTTTTGTTGTACTTTTGTAAGTGTTTGTGAAGCAAATTGAATTGGTCTCTCAGATCCATCCGGATATATGTGAGATAATACTGCTCCAACTGCATATGGGCTCGCATCAGTTGCAAGTATTAAAGGTAAACTTGGGTCAAAATGTGCTAAAATTTTATCAGAGATCATTTCTCTTTTTACTGCTGTAAACGCTTCTTCACATTTTCTGTCCCATTTGAAAGATACTCCATCTTTAAGAAGATTGTAAATTGGATGTAAAGTATGGCTCAAATTTTGTAAGAACCGTCCGTAGTAATTTATGAGTCCTACTAATGCTCTAACTTCTGTCTTGTTTGTAGGTGTTTTTGCTTTCTGTATAGCTTCCATCTTTTCTTTGGTTTTATGTATACCATTTTTGTCAATTTTATATCCACAGTATTCAATCTGATTTGCTAAAAATTGACATTTTTCATGATTGACTCTAATATTATATTTTGCAAGTCTGCTAAGAACTAATTCTAGTCTTTGATAATGTAACTCATCATCGGGTGCTGTAATTTTAATGTCATCTAGGAAAACTGTCACTCCTGGGATATCTTTTAAAATGTTTTCAATTTCCCTCTGCCATATTGCAGGTGCACTGGAAATACCGTACATTAATCTTGTACTTCTATACAATCCCCTGGGTGTACTAAGTGTTAAGTATTTCCTATCTTCTGGGCGTACTTCCATTTGTAGGTATGCTTGTTGTAAGTCAAGCTTTGTAAACTTATCTCCACCAGCCATGGTAGAAAATAGAGCTTCAATTGTAGGCAATGGGTATTCGTCTACCACTAAATGCTTGTTAAGTGTACTTTTAAAATCTCCACAAATCCGTACTTGACCATTACTTTTCATAACTGGTACTATAGGTGTAGCATATTCAGAACTATTAACTTTTTCTAAAATACCTTCTTTTTCTAACTTCGTAAGTTCTTGTTCCACTTTTGGTAATAACGCATATGGTATCTTCCTTGCTTTAATAAAGAAAGGTGAAGTGGTTGGTTTAACTTTTAATGTGGCTTGTAAGCCTTGAATTTTGCCCATGCTTTCATGGAAAACTACCGAATATTTTGTAAGTACATTGTTAAGTTTTGTATTTGTAAATTCAGATACTTCTGAAATGTTATTAAAGATTATATCTAACTGGCGTATCCATTCCCTACCCATTAATGGTGGTCTATCTGAATTTACTATGTACATATATAAAAATTTTGTATCTCCCTTGTACTTGACATTCACCTCTGTAACACCCACCACATCTAATGCCTGTTTGCAATATGTAACTAATTTTAAATTTGTATTTTGTAATTTTAAATTAGGAAAATATGTTTTAAAATCATTCAAATTTAATAATGTAACAGCTGCACCTGAATCTATTTCAAAAGATAGGCTTACCTTGTTGACTTCAACTGAAATTGTAAATTTTTCCCTGTAGTGTGAATGATCTGAATGAATGTTGAAAATTTCTTCCACTTGATCTACCTGATTTGAACTTTTACTTTTCATGCATACTTTGCTCAGATGACCTCCTCGTTTACATTTGCTACAGACTAAATGTGTTTTATTACATTTGTTTGCAATATGTTGTGAAGATCCGCATCTAAAACAAAATATATTTTTAGCTTGGTTATGAATATCATTTCTTTTCCCATTTGTAGGTTGTATGTGTCCTTGTTTATTCTTGACACTAGAAACTTTATTTATATTTGCACTTGTATTTGACTTCTGTAATCGAGCTGCATCTCGGGTTGATGTCTCCATGCTGACGGCAACTTCTAATGCTCTCTCTATCGTAAGGTCCTTGTATTCTAGGAGTCTGCTTTGAATATTTTGGTTTCGAAGACCAAATACGAATTGGTTTCTCAGGGCTTTGTTTAAATAATCCCCAAATTTGCAAGTTGTGGCTAATCTTCGTAAAGCTGTAATGTATTCATTGGCACTTTCCCCTTCATGTTGTTTTCTTTGTGAAAATCTGAAATTTTCCACTATTTCCAACGGTTCAGGGTTGTAATGTAGTTTCATTGTATTTACCAGTTCATCATATGATTTCTCGTCTGGTTTTTCCGGTGAAATCTTGTCACAAAGAATATCATATGCATCTGGACCCATGTAATGTAGAAGGTATGCGGCTTTCTTGTCTTCTGGTACTGCAAAAACATTGAATGCACTCTGAAGACGTTGTAACCACCGGTCAAAATTCTTGGATGTATCGTAAGTTTCAATGCTAAATACGGTATGAACTGAATGAATTGTAGTCTCAGTCATCCTTTTAATGTATGTGTAGTTGTAAATCAGACAGGATTTCACTTATGGATGTAGATTTGTAAATTTTCACTGGTTCACCACGCTGCAGTTAGGTTATGTATGTATACTGGCCTATTTCCTTGTAGATTCGACCGTCCTCGTCGCCAAACTGTTGTGTATATAGGTGTAATGTAATTAAAATGGTGTAGAATGTATTTTATATTCGTTTATTTCACTTACTAATTAAACATGTGCGTGGTAACTTATGTAGGTATCTTATATGCTATATCCCTATCTGTCAAGTGTAAAGTGTATTGTCCCCTGACATCCGTCAAGTGACAAGTGTCATGTCATGGAACTCCTAAAGGTCAAGAGTCAAGATATGACAATTTTAACACGACCTGCTACAACACAAACTAAGGAAGATACGCGAAAGCCATGAGTGTGCGGTGAAAAACTCTTAGTAAAGCGCTTTTGATGTTTTTAGTAGTGCTAGAATACGGTGTTCACATGCTCCTGATCAAAATATACAGAGTTCATCATTCTATAAAGTTAACAAAGGAACAAGTAGGACAATTTTTGATAGATATTATTTTAGAGTACAGACGCAAACAGAAAGCAAAATTTTATGAAAATGGGTATTCAAGGGAAATCAAGGATAATTATTGTCTGTTGCCACTACAGAATACTAGAGGTGGAGAGAAACAAAAGTGACGATATTTTGTAGCGAACTGCTATAATAATAGGAAACGTAGTTGGGAAAATTGGATTTCAAGAATTAGCTAATGTACTAATTAATCCTGCTTGACCTGGTGTATCCTTTTTAAACATTTAGTATTGCAGATCTTTATTATTTTCTTGTAATCTATTGTCTAAAGCCATAAAGACAGCGACATTCACTTAATTGGGCGGCTACTTCTTGGCATATCGATCTTACTGAGCAGAAAACACTTCCTGAAAATTATTTTCTTCTTGTTTATTCTCTACTTCTGTTTTTTTTTTTCAAAAAATATCCAAAGTATTGACTGCAGTAGAATATATCAAAAATTTGGGTGACATTACAGAGGTTAGAAAAATGCAAGAAATTGGAGATCCTTAGTAGAAAAACTAGCACCACTGACATCACATATACTTCACAGATGTAAGAAATTTGTAAGTAGTGATTGAATAACTGCACCTAAACGCGAAAGTGCTGTAAAAGCTCGACGTGGAACGATAATGCCCGCTTCACATTATTCCAGTGGCATTTCAGTCCAGTATTCCAGTCGAGCGGTGAAGTGCCACTGGCATGATGTAAACCTGCAGTGGAATGTTCCATGCCAGTTATCAACCCCGTCTAATTACGGAATTGACTGGAATTACAATGTATTTGTCATTACAGTGCCACGGTTAGTGTGAATGGCCAATCCAGTGCTTGATTACACGTTGAACAGTGCACACAATATTGTTCCGATCTTACAGCTTTTGAATCACTGAAATAATGTAGATGATATGATCCAGTCCACCACTGGACTGGAAAAACTTGCTGAATTATTGGATTGGAATAATGTAAAACGGGCATAATATAGAGAATAAGATGACTGGAGTCTTTAAAATAAGTAAACTCCCTTTGCCATTTAAATCTACATATAGCTTTTATATTAACAAACAAATAACTTACTTTGTGAGGTGGAGTAATCGTACCGAATTTTTCTTTGTTATCTTCGTGTATGTATTTGTAATCTTGTTCTAGATTTTCTAGCATCTTGTAGTTCCTAGGATGCCAAACATTACTTTTAATCTGTTATGAATCTATAAAAAACATTGTATCATTAACGACAATCTAAGACAAAGTTGTATATCCACAGGGAAACTAAATTTCTGTAGCTGGCTGCATACCATGTATAACAAAAAATTTATTTAAAAAATTCCTTTATAAAAGGTATATATTATTAAAACACTCTATCGGGCTACATCACAGAACGTTTTCGGAATTATTGGTCCATGATCAGTGCTATCCTAAAAGTATAACCACAATTTTTTTTATTTTTTGATGATCTTTTTTATCGTAATTGTTTAAATTCAATAGCTATTTCAAAAAACAGGCTTGGATGACAGATGACATATTGGATTTGATGGAACAACGGCGACTAGCGAAAAACAACGAAACACTTTACAACAGCATACAAAAAGAAATTCGACGTAAAATACGAGAAGCAAAGAGTCAACATCTAGCCAAACAGTGTTATGACATTGAAGAACTTGAAAACAGATACGACACGTTTAACATGTATAAAAAAGTGAAAGAAGCGGCTGGTATCTTCAATAAGAAACAAACTGCATTGCTACAGGATTGAACATGGTAAAGTAATATTTGAAGTAGAGGACAAACTTAAAGAATGGGAAAATTACGTCACGAACCTATTCGAAGACGTAGTTCACCTCCCGATATTACTAACTGCGACGGACCCCTAATAACACGCTCTGAGGTTATAAAAGCCATACAATCATCAAAAGATGGCAGAGCGACTAGTCCTGATGAAATTCCAACTGAAATATACAAGCTTATAAATGATAGCAATGTTTTAGAGGCTATAACTTCGTTTTTCAATACCATTTATACCAGCGGACAACTACCTAATGGTTGGTCTAATTCACTGTTTATAGCTCTACCTAAGAAGACAACAGCAAAAACCTGTGCTGATTATAGAACCATCAGTTTGTTAAACCACTTAATTGAAAATTTTTCTGAAGGTAATACATGGTCGTATCTACAATAAATGCGAGGAATACCTGGATGACACTCAGTTTGGTTTCCGTAACGGTTTGGAACGAGAGAGGCACTGTTTGGAATGAACGTACTTGCTCAAAGATGTCGAGATATATCTGTAGACATATACTGTTGTTTTATTGACTTCCAAAAGGCATTTGATCGTGTTAAGCACTCTATATTGATCGAAGCTCTAAAAGACATTGGCTTGGACGGCAGAGATGTTCGAATAATTGCAAATTTATATTGGAATCAACACATCAGTTTTAGTAGATGGGTGGAATCACAGGCTCTCAATATTAAAAGAGGAGTACGGCAGGGATGCCTCTTGTCACCCCTGCTTTTCAACGTTTACTCCGAAAGAATTTTCAGAAACACTTCGAAAAACAAGAAGGAATACTTGTGAACGGTGAAGTCATCAATAATTTGCGATATGCGGACGATACAGTACTCTAGCTTCTAGTCAAGAAGATCTGCAAACACAACTTGATAGTGTCGTTGAGAGTTGTAGGGAGGCAGGTCTGGATCTGAACATACGGAAAACCAAAATACTCGTAATAAGTAAACAACAGCATATAAAACCGTCTATATATGTAAATAATACTAAACTTGAGCAAGTTGATATAATCGTTTACTTTGGACAGCAAATTAAATTGTAAAGCAGAAACTCACGGCGAAATTAAATCTAGGAGAGAGCAGGATAGAACTGCTTTTAGAAGGATGTTCAAGGTGCTACGTAAGAGACCTAAAATTGGCATTAAGGATTCGCCTACTTCGCTGCTACCTGTTCTCGGTCTTACTTTATAGTGTCGAGTTCTGGACTGTGAATAAAATTGATCTAAATCGCCTGTAAGCCTTTCGAAATGTGGTGCTATAGAAGGATTTTAAAAGTTTTCTGGATGGAGAAGATTCGAAACTCCATAAAACTAGATCGTCTCAGCAAGACTACTGAGATCATAAAAAGCATCAAGTAGAGAAAGCTGGAGTATTTCGGACATGTAATGAGAGGTCCCAAATATAGGTTGCTACAAAATATCATGCAAGGAAAAATAGCAGGCAAATGCACTCCATGACGAAGAAGAACCTCATGGTTGAAAAACTTGCGAGATTGGTATGGTGTTGACACAAGCATGCTATTTAGGGTGGCAATAAATAAAATTAAGATAGCTATATGATGCTAACCAAGGTTCGGAAAGGACATGCTACATGAAGAAGAAGAATAGCTATTTCATTAAATCTGCTGGTAATCTTAAGTTTTTATAAAAATATAAAAATTCAACAATAACATAATAATGTTACCTCCTTTAATCTCTTGTTAAATCGTTCAGCTTGCTCGTTAAGTCGACTATAAACTTCGTCAATTGCTAGTTGTAGTCTTTCTAGACATATTTTACAAAAAACATTCTCAAATGATGTAATAAACTTTTCTCGAAAGGTTTCTATATTCTTAAGTAAGGCCAGGAAAGACGACAAGTTTTCTATCCAGCTTATCTCACATTGAAGTAAGTATGGTTTATATTTTTGTAGTATTTCCTGCATGCAATCGTCTAAAGATGGTTGTAGTTTTGAAGAATCCAAGTAATTAATCTGTTGTTTGTGATAAAATTCCTAAAATATACTTAATATAAGAAAATATGCTGACTGATATACTAGAATGTAAGCCAAACAAAAAGAAGAAAAAGAACATCTTAATTTAATATGACAATTCTTGTCAATTAAAAACTATCCAGTTTACAAAATGTCAGAATCGTAGTGCATCAAAAAATTATTTAAAAATTTAATTTTTTTAAATTTTCTGTACACGATTATCAAAAATGTCGCCCCATCCAAGAGGAATAGACCCTAAACTCCAAAATGGCTGGATATATTCTATCCAGAGAGAAGATAAATTGAGACTTCGTTGGTTTCGTAAACACGAGGAGAGATTGAATGAAATAGCCAACAAGAGTTGCTCAAGGATTGTTCCAGAAGAAGATAAAGAAAAATTTGCTCAAGATATGATAGAAAATCTTCGAAATACGCAAAGGTTTCCTAGGAAAAAAATCGACGACCTGGAACCCAGAGAGCCAAGCGCATTGCATGGTAAATAGTGTTTGAGGGTTTGTATTGATGAATATTGCTTAGATTTCCTTGGATATATTTATGATCTAGTACTTCAGTTTTTCTCTATCAAAAAAGTACAAAAATATAAATATCTAGCAATAACTATAAATATACCAAGACTACTTGCAACTATAGCAAGAGTATATTCAACTCAATAACAAAATATTTAAGAACGTACCACGCAGACTGCTGTGATGTTAAAATGAAATTTTGGCCACGGCGGCTGAAAAAGATATTGCAAACTGGGATACTTATGAAGATAGAGAATCTCTTAAACACAATAACGTTTATTCTAAGCACTATCTTCGATGTCTGCTTCTGATTTGTAGTATGTTGTCTCACTCTGTTCACTTTTATTGACAATGTGTAGATGTTCCTTAAATAATTCCATCCATTTACCTAATTCTTTTCTGTCAATAGTTGTTGTTTCTTCCCCATGTCATTTTGTTGTAACTCTCTAAGTGATTTGTTTCATTCTTTTGTAAAATTGCTTTTTGTCTGCTTCTATGTTCCAAAATTTCTTCTAGATATTTCTCTTCCTTTTTGTGTGTGATTAAGTCAAGTTTACTTTTTCTTTTCTACACCTATTCTACATTTCTCATTATACGATTCTGCGTTTCTTTCTCCATTAATTTCTCTAAATTTCCTCAGCAATTTTTGTCATAACCAATTTCTAATTAAGCTCTCTCTATTTGACTCTGCATTATGCTTTTCTCTATTCCAGTTGAGTTGTATTTGGGGAACTTGGGAAACTGATTGGATTGTTTCTTTTCGGTGGGTTTTTGTATGTTCTGTTTTAGGGATCTGTTACCTTTTCAGGACGTGGCTCGCTTCATGGGTATTAGTACTGGGGTCGTTGCGTTTCATTGATGAGTTGGCTCGATAGACGTTGATTCCTGCGGAGGAGGTAGCTTTCCAGGGTAGTCAGAGGTAAGAGGGTTAGTGCTAAAACAGTTCTTTTCAAAAATTCTCTTGTTTTCTAAACGTTTATATTGAGTCCATATTGTTGACTGTAATACGTGATTTTGTTCATAAGAACTTGTAGGTCTTCTAAGTTGGTGTCATCTGCATATCTGGTGTTGTTTAGCCGGTAACCATTTAGTAGAATACCATTTTTAGTTTCGTGCAAAGCTTCAATAAATATTCTTTCAGAGTACATATTGAAGATTAGAGGAGACAAAATACAGTCTTGCCTCACTCCACGTATGATTTTTGGTCAGTGTGTTCACCTTCAACTCTGAGATTTGCTGTCTGATTCCAGTAAAGATTTCTAATTATTTTCAAATCTTGGTTGTTAATTCCTGTTTCTTTTAATATTTGCATCATCTTGGCGTGCTGTAGGTAATACAGGCATGCAAGCAGACATGCCTGTATTAACCTGCATCTCTGGAATGAAACTTGTACTGAGAACAAGGCCTCTCTAGAACCAACAGCATTTGTGAACCCGAACTGGTTGGGAGAAATTTGACTTTCACACAGCTTCTGGATTCTCTTATGAATTATCTTTAGGAATAATTTTAGGAGATGGAACATATCGACATGGTCTAGGTCATTTTGAGCAAATCTACACATTACATCTGCATCTCGAGACGTTGTTACGAGAGCAGTATTATCTAGGAAACTGTTGGGATCAGGGAACAGGGATTATTCTTGTATATTGTGTAGGTGTAACATGGTACATTGTAGGTTCACAATTTATACTAGCATGGCTTAGACATTTTTATGTTTATTATTTTATGTAACAATAAACTATTTTTATAAATCGTGGTTGCCATTTTGTTAAAATGTACTAAATCTAGCAAAATCAACTAAAATGTGTTAATGGTGTACAAAATACACAGCGCGCCCGGTTATGAAACGATTAAGCGCTATCGATATTAATCTTTTTAGGCACATTCTTATTTTCTTCAATAGATCGTTCATATTTTCCTTCATAATTTCTCATACAATTTGAATAATAAACAAAATTAGCTGTTTCAACAGCTTCAGAACTTTCATATAGTGCGGTTCTTAAAAATAATTCTTCTTTAAAATATCTCGTAGCTAAAAACAAAAATTAAGCTTTATTCTGACAAATTTAAATCATTACACGATTGTTTTATACTTCATCTTACAATATCTTCGTAACTAAAAACAGAAATCAAGCACTATTCTCAAATTTCAATCATTATGATTGTTTTAAATTGTATGTAATCATAAATGATATAATCTTTTTCGTAAAATCAAATGTCCTTTGTGAAATGCTGTTTGATAATGAAAATGATGAAAAATGCTTTTTTCAAAAATATAAACGATCTCATTTTTAAAAATAGTCTAATAATAACACATTATTTATGTTATTTTCTACTATTTTCTAAATTTATATTCTTGACATCTGACAAGTAGAAAGGTAGCCACTTAGGCGCATTTTGACCTTTGACATACGCGGCTTGAACTATACATGCATTTGCTTTGCTCATAACTCTCATAGTCGGTTCTAGGCGGGTAACGACGCTCTCACTTTAACAACTTCTTATGGCATTAAAAATATATTTAGACATACTTATAAATACATAAATTCTTCGTCTTGATTGTATAATATGTCACCATCGGGGTAATGGAATAGGGTTACTAAACCAACTTCTGTACCACCGTGTGCTCTGCAGAGGGCTCGGAAACGTCGACGAAAGCCCTCTACTTGAAATCCATTTGCGGGTGTATGGATTCGTAAAAGTTTTCTTCTGATGATAAAAGACGAGCTATTTCTTACATGACTTATAAGTCGAAATAAATATCAGGATGCAGTCTATGGTGGCTTGTCTTGACAAAGGCAAGATATTTCTTACACGACTAAATAGTCGAAATAAAACACCAAGTTTAAAGTTGAATAAAATCTCAGCACAGAGTATAGGGTAGGCTAAAAGAAAAAGCAGAGCCCCTGAGAGCACTAAGCTCTCGGAAAGCCCGTGAAGGACTGACTTGATTGACCTGGAAATCGCCTATTTTATACTTTTGACAGTAGCGATTAGGGATTTCCAGTCAGGGAGGGGCCACGGGAAAAATAGAGGGGGCGATGCGTCTCGAACGTGAACTAGTCGCGGCCGAGAACAAATACGACTATGCAACTTGATTTGCTATACTCTAAAGTTTTATTAGCTAAAAAACCTTATAAACAAATTATAAGGATTTTTTATTAAGAAACATCTGTTTAGAATTGTTATGACTTTGTTATAAATATTATTTCGATTATAATTAATTTTTAGTTTTAAAGCTGGTAGAGTTTACTTTAATTTAAATTATTATAAAGTTATTTTACTCTAAATGTAGCCGAGTTACAAGCGAAAAATCGCCCAAATATAGTAATTTTGCAATGTTATTGCATTAATTTTGCAATATCTCCGGTATTAATTATTAGATCAAGGTTTACCAAACATTATTTTGTAGGTTTCTTTTGAAGAAACAAATTGCATTTCGTAAAAATTAATTTATATTTGTTAGTTTACGAATTATAATCATTTTAACAGTTAAATTATTTATAACAAATTCCCAATACCTCCATCGTACAAGCATGTTTAAAATTCGAATTTACCTGTTCAAAATACATAAAAAACTCTGAAACTCAGTCTACGCGTCCACATTGATCGTCCAGGAAACAACACTGGCTCTTAGACTATAATAATAACTGTTTATGATTTTTATTCTTACAAACACTTTTTTCTTCATTACAAGTTAGGTAATTTTAACTTTTGCCTTTTCTAGACTACATGAGACCTGTAGACCCAGATGTGAAGAAGGTCCTATACGGCAAAGACAAAGATAGTCGTGAACAATATCTCCGCGAAAGAGCTCACATAATTCCTGAGAAACGATACTATCTTCCTGAATGTAGCAGTTGGATTTATGGGTGGAATATGTGGGACACAGTGAAAACTATGACCAAATATCCTTTCGCGAGGGAAGAAGTCATAAAGAATTCGTTTTATAGAAGAAGAGGGGTTGAAAGAGATCCTGATTGGTATCGTGAACCTGCAATGTATAGTCCAACGATTTGCATGGAAAACTAACCTCTAAAATTATTAAGTTGATAGATTAAGGAATGTATAATGTTTTGTATAGTCATAGGAAATTAAAATTTAATGTTTTATAAATACAAATCGATTTTAAAATGTTATTTTCTTTTATCGCTAATGTGAAGGTTGGGTATCTAAGTAGGGTAGAGGCACCATTTATGTAGGTATGATTCGAATAAAATCTGGTTATAAACTGATTTTGTTTACAACCCTGTAATTTTCACAATACTATATTTCCCTTTGTTCATTAACTTTATTCCACCCTCTATGCCCAGATGCCCTATTCATTTCATCAATAAGCTTGAACGGTACTAATTAAAACCCTGTTAAAAATGACCTGCATCCGACATCGGCGACGGTCCAAAGCACCTAGTCTGCTGTCTGTTAGAAACTCTCGCGGAAGAAACATGATGCTTTAATAACAAAATTTGTGATTTTGGTATTTGCGATTCTCAGAGCGTGTGCCTCTCTATCAAGTGTTTAGCAATAAGGAAATTTGTCTCCGCGATTGTGAAACTAACAACTTTGTGTAACCACGTATGTTGTCACATATTGTACCCACCTGTTTGTGTTACCTCTAATACATAGAGAAATAAAAGTTAGTTGCAAGTTACTCGTATTCTTTACGTACCATAGACAATCAAAATAATACAGTCCACTTCAAAAACCCAGAAAATAACGGCGGTATAAGTTAGTAGAAGATCGAAAGCACGTAGAATCACACATAATTCCACCTCAAACGCCGGTATTTTCTTCAAAATCTTTCCGCTCAATGCCATTTTTACTTTAAAATCAGCTCTACTAGGAGATCAACTAATCATAAAGATTCAATTCATAATGAAAATATAACGTTTTATATTTTGAACTACAAAAATCGCTGCTTTTGGCCATATGTTTCTAATTTCGCCATACAGTTTCCCCACTTTGGCCACCCAAAAACTAGTTAACAATAGAGATACAATTGATATGAATGATAAGGTAAAATAAAATAAATTTCTGGTAACACTGTTCCCACAATCTTCCCATTAACTATGGAATTACTTGACATTTTAGCCTCTCTCTCTCTTCAATCCTGACCCCACAGGGGGAGTGTAGTGGTCGACGTGATGTCGTGTATTGTCCGTCTCCAGAGATCTCTGTCTCTGGTCATTTCTTTTAATTCATGCATAGGTCTTTGGCATATTCCTGTAATTTGATCTATCCATCTTGTTGGGGATCTTCCTCGTGATCTTCGGCCTTCTACCTTTCCTTGTATTATGAGTCTTTCCATGTTTTCTGTGTTGTGCTCTCATAACATGCCCAAAATATTTTAATTGTTGGAGATGGACTTTACTAGAGAGTCGTTGGCTAACTTTTAGCTCTCTTAAAATTAAATTATTTGTTCTACGTCGATCAAGGAATTCGTAACATTCGTCTCCAACAGAACATTTCAGTGGCGTATATCTTTCTCCTCTCCGTTTGTCTCAGAGTCCAAGATTCACATCCGTAGGTCAGTATATTGGGAATATTAAGCAGTAGATCACATCTACGTTTAATCTCTTCTTGTAATGACCTGTGTGTTTGCAGCTTTAAGCTTATTGGTTGACATTTTAGCAGCTTCAAGCTTATTGGTTGATAGACCATGCTTATTATTGGTGTAGTGGCCATAAGTGGTGTTTCTACCCTATACTTCTTCATATGATCCACAGATATATTTTGTTCAAATTTCTCCAACGATTTTCTTCGTCTTTCTTCCGTATTTTATACATGGTAATTTTGCATTTACCAACAAATGATCTTAACCAACTTAACGCATGTTTGCTATAACCTTAGTTTGCTGTCGATCAGCGACATATATTCCTTCCTGTGGACTGTGGATATATTTCTTATTAATTTTATCCTTTTACTACAAACAAGACGAAGAAATAGTAAAATTTTCGGACTAATAGCTCTCTTATAGTCACGGAATATTGGAATGTGTGAGTGGATAATGATTATAATACGAATATGGGCTACATTGGACAATATCATGAAAAGAAAAACGCACAAAGATAATTTAATATTGTACGAATAATGATCCACAGATCATTTAACACTTTTTGAGAAAAATATTAGAAGATATTATATATTGATAGCAGAAAGTAGTGTCATAGTTTGAAAACCTTTCTAACAACCGTTTAAAATTTTTTTTCCAGCACCAAGGAATGTTCAATGCAGTTTACCTGTTTTCTGATCTTTTACTGTAGGCTTACAGTGTCACTGATTATTTCCTTGGAGTCCTTACGTATATCTTCTATTCTTAATTAGGTAGTCTATTTGAATATTAAGCTGCGTTGGGGATGGTAAAAGAGCTCTATAAGGGAAAAGGCCCAAACCTTACTGTAGCCGAGAGAAGACAGAAGAGGGAAAGGTCAATTGAAAGATGGCAAGAAGAATGGAACAATACGGAGGATGTAGCACAGTGGACGAAAATGCTGATTCCGAACATAAGAGATTGGGTGGACTGTGGCCACAGGCGAGTGGATTATTTCCTGAAGCAGGTGCTCACAGGACACGGGTGTTTTAGGGCCTACCACTCTAGGTTCGGAAAGGCTGACACAGATGTATGCCTATACTGTGGATACTCGGACACAGTGACACATAAAGTACAGTAGATTACAACAGATGGATAGTAGAAAGAAGAGGAAGAAAGACAACTGGACCAGCGGCAAAGGTACGCGTGAAAGATGCTAAAAGTTGAAGCTAGAAAAGTGGGTCAGACTTTATGAGTTAAAATGCGTGAGTCAGACTGTGGGGAATTAGGAAATGACCATCTGGGAATGATGCCGTACTAGAAGCGATGAGGGTTTTCTACGCGCTACCTGAAACGAGACAGGGAGCCTCCTTGTTGATGAACAGAGTGTGGATATGTATGAATGGAGAATGAAAGAATAAAGGTAGTGCTTCGGAAGTGATGCCAGCCTTGCAGCGGCCTTTCCGCTTCCGGATCGCTGGATGACAGAGGAGGGGACTGGTTTAGTAGGACTCGGCGACGAGAGGTCATTTTAAAGTACCTCGGGAACTATCGCCGGGAGTACGAAGAACGAATCCTACACTAAGGTTAGTCAGGCGACGTTTAGGACTGAGATGTCTTTTGAAGATTACAGACGAATACAAAGACGAAAAAAAAAAGTATTGAACATGATCTTTTATACTTTTTTATGAAGTTGACCAAGTCCTTAAATCCTCCTAAGTCCTCCTAAGCTTGGTTAATGGGCTAAAAATTACCATATGTCGCTTAATCATGACAGTTAGCTACCCCCATCTTTTAACAGTAGAAGATGGCAACGTGGATATAGCCTAAACCTCATCACAAATACACAACATAGACCTCTAATGCACCAAATACATTCAGCATCCGACCACAGAAAATAAAAACAAACTGGCCTAGTTTTACGAAGCTAGTAGACGAAAAAGTCCAAAATATAAGGGTTGTCCCAGAGGAATACGAATACTTTGTGAAAGCTGTTAAAAACGTGTTCCCGACCAACTATCCTCCAAGGATGTAGACTTAGCTACTTAACCCCAGAAAATGCTGCCCAACTTGAGGAATATTACAGTCTCTTTAAAAACAACTCCTTCGGCCTTAAGACTATCGCCAAAGGACCAAAAATAATCTCGCAGATCACAGAAACTGAAAGAGAAATAGGCACAAGACCTGGTAACTACTGAGGCGTTTAGCCTACGATCCCACAAAAACCAATAGATATGCCAAGGTTAAAGCTGATCAAATTGGTCCCCAACTGCTTAAAAGTGGGAAAATCATGGGCTCAGCAAATGTTTGGAACGAAGAATACCAACCAGAGCTAGAAATGCAAAAATAAAATGTAGAAACTCATAAATATTTTATATATCATCTGATTTTCCTAGAATGCTAGTTTTATCGTCTTTAAATATCATGTTTTATTTTAATTTCTTTGGAAGATGCTACAAATTCTAAGATACGTATTTAAAAAATGCAACAAGTTACTTACTTTAGCAAATTCTTCTAGTTCTAAAAATGAATCGTGTACGAGTTTTACACTTTTAGAAATAAAATCTTCTCCTGTTAAATTTTGATGCTTATTTAGTAGCATGCCAATGTAATCTTTATTTTGTCTTCCTTTGATAGCACTCTCTGTAACAAATAATACATTTAAAATTGATAAATAAAAGAGCTGTTTTAAATTATAAAGAGTTAATTCTGTTATTGTAATAATTTTAAAGCCAAAAAATGTATCTGAACATAACTTCGTATGTAAAAATTGTTAAAAGTAGTACGTCAAGGGTGTAGTGTCTCCCTGATTCTATTTAATATATCTGGATAAAGCACTCTTTTCTCTTACAATGGCGATTACGCGGACATCAACTAACATTTCCCAGGAATAAGATGATATAAAGTATATGAAGATAAACTTATTTAAAAAATGTACTGGCTAACAAAAAACCTCAATTTAAAAGATATTAAAATTATTTTAAATATAATAATATAGTCAAAGTACAATAGTACAGATAGAAGGAAAGAGAACTTTTTCTTCATGTGCCGTCTCCGTTTTGAATTTTGACTACCATCATTGGATCTTAGATACAACTTCACTGAATAGTTGATTGGAATTACAACCAAACCACTGACTTAAATTTTTGCAGCAAAGACATCTTTCTTCTTCTATATTTATTCTTTTTACAATTTTCCCTGAATTACGTTTTGTAGATGTTAATATTCATCTCCCACTTAAATATGTGCAAAATATTGAAGTTTTCGACCTTTGATGGCCAACAGCAATTCTTTTTCTTTTCAGATTGAAGATCTCGTGCTTCCAGTCTCCAGATTCTTCTAGGGCGTAAGTCTATCTTATATACTAAAACGCTAAGCCCTTTTCTTGTCCACCATTTTACTCAAAAACCATATTAGATAATTAAAATATTTTTTCGAAATATTATTAATATTACGTATGAGATTGTCAAGATATACTTTTGGTACAAAAATTCACTTCCGGTTTTGAGATGACCAAAAGTTAAAATTTACTTTAAGTTTTAGACCCCACAATGTATATATGGATCGAAAGGTCTCGTCGAGATGAATCTAAATATGTACTTCCGGTTACGATCCGACACCGGAAGTAACGCGAAACGCGCAATAAAACGTCAAGATAGAGCAAATCTGACACCGGATTCGTGATCAGCATGCAAAATTAACTGCTAAATGATAACCATGTCGACATTTGATGAACTAAAAATTGCAATCCGGTTTTGAGGTCGACTTCCGGTTTCGTTTTTATTAAAAAGTAAAAAGTAAAAGTTTACATAACTCCCGGTGCCAAGCAAAAGTTTTCAGAAAATGGAGACATTGTAACAAAAAACATTGTTTTCGACGAAATTTCGTGATATTTAATACACTTTTTACTTGCATTATTATTGATGAATGTTATGTATATCCTTGCTTATATTGTTTGTATTGATCTCTTAATTTTTCTCTAAAAGTAAAAATTTCATTTAAAAAACTTGATGTTGAGTTGGTCCGCTTCTTCTTCTTTAAGTTCCATCTTCTATCGAAGGTTGGAAATCATCATGGCTATGCGGACTCTGTTGACTGCCGCTCTAAAAAGTTCTGCACTACTGCATTCAAACCATTCCCTTAAGTTCTTAAGCCAGGATATTCTTCGTCTTCCCACATTTCGCTTTCCTCGGATTTTGCCCTGCATAATAAGTTGTAATAATGCGTATTTTTGCCCTCTCATCACATGTCCCAAGTACTCAAGGTTTCGTCTTTTAATAGTTAATATTATTTCCGCCTCATTTCCTATCCTTCTAGTTACTTCCATGTTTGACATTCTTTGAATCCATGATATTCGTAGGATTCTTCTGTAACACCAAAATTCAAAGGCGGCCAGCTTATTCAGATGAACTTGTTTTAGTATCCAAGCTTCCAGACCATAAAGAAGAGTAGAGAACACGTAACATCGAAGCATTCTCAGGCGTAGTTCTAACCTTATATCCCGACAACAAAGAAACTTTTTAAGTTTAATTTGTTGGTCCGCTAGTGGTGTATTATTTTCAGAAACAGTTTTAATATATGGCTCATTAAATTTATCGTGCAATATTTATTGCAGTGTTTGGTGTTTGGTTACTTTGGCATTGTTATAAATGAGTCATTATTGTGGTATTATGCCAGGAATATTTTGAAGTATGCAGGAAACCTAAAACTACAGATGCTATGATTAATTTTCTCTTAAACCATCCATTTTTCCAAAAAATGTCAGCATTCAATAGAACTTTTAAACTTTCCTTATCTAAAGAAATTTATATAATAAAACAGCCTTAATTAATAATGACGCTCTCCATCTTATTAATAACGTTGATTGAAATATTAAAGGAGTCCAATATTTTATGAACGTTAATAAACTATATAAGCAATCGAAGCTTTACATTTCCATCAACATAAACTTTTAAATTAGTATAATGGTATACTGTATAGTATAGGTATTTATAGTATAGTATAAGTAGTATAGTACAATGATAGTTCAATCGAACCTACCCTACTGGATTTCTCGTCCCCCTTTGTAATGTCATTAGGTGACTTGTACTTTTAATTTTTTACAGGAGTACACAATAATTTAAATGAAGGTTAATTCCCGTACCATTCTATCTTGGCATACACTTCACATCACCCCATTTAGACTTCTTAAAAAATACTTTCAATAATTGCTACCGTTCCCCCTTTTTAATTCTCTTGTCAAATTCAAAAGTAATGTTAATTGCTTATCTAAGTTTGCAACTAAATTTCCTTTCGAAAACCTCTCATTTGTATTTCTGTTCTTCTGTTTTAACAGGTTTTGTGATTGTCTGGGATTGTGATATCCTTTTAAAGATCCTAATTACCAACTATATTGCCGGATAGTTTCGATACCGATTGACAGTAGGTACCTACGACAGTACTGTCACATGTCATTAACTCTGGTTCCAACTTGTCTCTCCAAAATGGTACCCATAAGAGAGCAATTGGACTTCTGTAGTCCTTTTAATAATTAGATATTCCCTATGACATTGACAACCTAGCTAATTTTTTACATTATAGTTTATTTTTATGAACGAGAGAGTAATTAGCATAATTTTAACTGGTACCTCCGACCACTCCATGGGCGTGCTCAAGATTAATTGAAAAATTACTTTGAATAATTGTAAAAAATAAATGAATTATTTCAGTGTTATAAAGTGTTATGTGTATGTAAACAAAAGTGACCTCTTTTATCACACACTATATTAGAACTGACTGGTCTACATTAAAAAGGGTTTTAAAAAATTCACATTTTTTTTAATTTTTAAAAATTACAAAAGAGAAAAAGAGTTTTTAAAACCGTCTAAGGTATATAGATGAATAAAAATATTAATATAAAACTTACAGCTACTTGTTACAAATCCAAATCAGATTCAGAAGATGAACTTTCGGAACCAAGATTTATATTAACTGGCTCGATCATTTTATCAGTAATATTGTCCAGCTTCCACATTTTTTCCTCTTTTTTAATAGTGTGATTTACTGCCTTTTCCCAGTTTTCAGGTTTTACATTATTTACGGCCTCCAAAAACAACTGTTTAACATCATGAATTTTAAAAGTGGTATTTTTTCTTGAAACTTCACTCTTTATCTGTGCCCATACCAGTTCAATCGGGTTTAATTCACAATGATATGGTGGGGATCTAAGTACTGTCATTCCACGATTTTTGGCAATTTCATCAATTTCGTATTTTTTAAACTTTTCTTTATGAAGGGCACACAACGAATAAAGTTCCTTTTTTATAGATCTGGGATGGTACGTAATATTTTTTGAACTCAGTCAATTCTGCAAGTCTTTTTTTAACCACTTGGTTGTGGGCAGTCCTTCTATAAGTCTGGAGTGATAACTTGCATTATCCATTACTATTACACAGTTCTTAGGAAGAAGATCTATCATTTGTTCGAACCATTCTTGAAAGACATCAGCGTTCATGTCTTCATGGTAGTCACCGGTACGAGTTGATTCAAAAGTTAATAAACCACCTTCAACAAAACCGTCTGAACTGCCAATGTGTACTATTATCAGCCTGCGTCCCTTTCCTGATGTTGGGTTTAAACCAGTAGATAAGTTATTTACAAAAGCGTGCCTTTGACTTGTAACAGTTTCATCCTGCCAAAATTTATTTGGTGTATGACCCTCGTTGATCCATGTTTCATCAAAATAAAATATTTTTCTTTTTTGGTTTCTCATTTCCTTTATGGTTCTTAGAAAATGTCTTCTCCATATGACAATATCGCTTCTTTCTAATAAAATAGACTTTCTGGGATTCTTTTTCCAGCGGAAGCCTATTTCTTTTAAAAGTTTCCATAACGTACTTCGACTCATTTCTGGGTAATCCTTATCATCTCGAACTGAGACAAGAACTTTATCCAATGTTGGAAATTCTTGTCTAAAGAAGAATTCATGCACTTTCCGTCGAAGTCATTCTTTAAAATGATATTCTATTTGAAATTTTGGTTTCCCTGGAGCATTACGTGGCATTTGAAAAACTACCACATTTCTCTTCTTTAATAACTCTGTAAATCGTAGATTTCCTAACACCAAGTGTACTGCTAACTAACTCAACGGTCTCATCAACACTTTCACATAAACGTTTGTCTGTAAATGATTTAAAACAATTAAATATTAATGTTTTTTCATTAACTGTTAAAGGACCAATTTTTCGGCGTTTACACGGGACTTCCAAATTTTCCATAACACTAGTATACACAATAAACTGCACCTTGCAACTGAAGTACCTACTTTTAGTGAACTGTTAAGAATTTTGAATACGCCACTTGGACCTTCCTAGAAAATGGAAAAAACCCACTATCACATTTTCTGTGGAATAAATTTAGAAGGTAATTATCTAGTCAATTACTGTCGTAGATTCCTGGAATTAAAGAATTAAATGTTTGATTGTTGAAACCCTTACTTCGTGGAATGCACTCATTTCAGATAAAATAAAACGTTTTATTTTATCTAAAGAATTAAACTTTATTTTGCAAATAGGTAGGTACTTATTAAACTTTTATTGGTTATATATAACCAATAAAATAAACATCTTACATTTCTTGCAAATTCATTAGTACCTGTTAACCTCCATCACTCCGACACTGACAACCTTATTTAGGGATTAGTAACTCTCACAACTATTGTATTCTATTTTGCTCCAACCTTTATACCTGGTGGTCATACTCAATTTAAAATTGTTTTCCTATATACTTCTGTAAACTTGTTGACAAATATCTGTTTTTCATTGAGTCACCCGTATCAACAGTTTAGGGATTTGCATACATAATTTATTGTTTTATTACTCTATCATACATAAAAATACACTATAAAAATTGTCTGTCCACTCCAAAAGTCCTTTCTTAAAGCTGTGTATTCTAATGCATTTCAGATGTAGCTTCTCCTACGTTTATAGCTGATGATGACAGAGATGTCGAAACGCGTCCTATATGTTAGAAAATAAATATTGTTTTTACAATTTGTACAATTTGTGGTATTACCTATTATTAGTAACTGTATTAAAATATAATATTTAAAATGATATTTACCCAAAACTACTGAGAATATTTCAACAGGTTCTGGATGAGTTATATAAACGCCAATACTAAAAACCTCCGTTAAGCATGCTTCGATTTTTGACTCAAAACTTTCTAAATATTCCATCTTCCCCAAATTCTCTTTAGCTTCTTCATAAACATCTTTCAATCCTTTTTCAGTTACTTTGAATCTTTCTCGTAAATTTCGCGCTATTCCTGTGAGTTCACGTTGGGTTTTCTGAATCTTTTTTACTACTCGTTCGGTATATTCATGTTCTCGAATGTATTCGTCAACACTGAAATAAGAAAACAATAATAAAAAGTATTTATACAAATAATTGTACTGACTTAGCAATCATATTTGCTTCTGATAATCGGATTCGAGCTAGATATTTTTCTCGAGAAGTTTCTGTTGTCAATATAATCGTCTCAATCTGCTTGTTAGATGTATCTTCTAGTCTGAGCAGTTGAGTTTGAGTAAGTGCTACTTCTTGAAGGCTGAAATTACCACTTTCGGAAAACAACCTGAAACATATCGGGGTTATAGTAGCTAAAAAGCTAGAAAAAACCAACACAGCGCATTTTATTACTTGTTTTAGACTACAAGTGGGAGTAAAACATAGATTTAATGAAAACCATGTTAACGGCATGTTCGGCTATTCAACTGATACGATGACGACGCGGAAGGTTGGTCGGCTTCAGCTCTTGTACTAATTGAAATTTGTATGCTTCTAAACCAAGATTTTTACGTAAAATACGCCAAGTTGTTGCATATGACAAGACAAGCTATTGAGAACTGCGATGAATCGATTCTTTATTATTTTCGATTACATTATCTGTTACCACTGTATTATTCGCTGTGTGCATCTGTTGATGTACAGTGGAGACCGAGATAAGAAGCAATCAAAGTAGAAGTCGTCCACCAACAAGATGGTCTGATGACATAAAACGGATCGACAAAAATTGGATGCAAACAGCACAAAACAGAAATACATGGAAAATACTGAGGGAGACCTATATCCAGCAGTGGATAGATCCGGGTTAAATGATGATGATGATGATGATCTGTTACCGCCGCTATATTTTGTTCACTATGTGCTGAATGTGGTCTATTTGGTCACGTGTTATCTATTAATGAAAACTGGGTTTTAAACTTACTAATCGTAAAGCGAATTGTATGTTCGGTAGGCCGATTATGTGGACCATAAATGGCTCTAAGCGAACGAAACACATTCCTCACAGAACTCCCGTTTTCAAAATACAACTTAATAATTTCTAGACGCTGCGCTGTGCCGGGCTAAGTCTTTCCATCATGAAATGTCAAACAATACGAAACAAAAGCAAAATGTCAGTTTGACAGTATTCATCATCATCATCATCATCATCATCCAGCCTCTATTTATCACGTCCACTGCTGAACATAGGCCTCCCTTAAACTCCTCCATTCCTCACGATTTTGTGCTTTTTGTTGCCAATTTTTAGTGATACGCCTGATGTCGTCGGCCCAACGTGTAGGTGGTCTTCCTCTACTGCGTTTGTCTGCTCTTGGCCTCCAATTTGTAATTTTGCTCGTCCATCGTGAATCGTGCATTCTCGCTACATGGCCTGCCCAGTTCCATTTTAGTTCCGCTATGCGTTCCACAACATCAGTAATACTCGTCCTTCTTCGCAGATCTTGGTTTCTTATTCGGTCCCTCAACGTCACTCCCAGCATAGACCATTCCATTCGTCTCTGTGCCACTCTCAGTTTCGAAGCCGTGGTCTTGGTTAAAGTTATAGTTTCCGCCCCATAGGTCATGACCGGTAATACGCATTGGTCAAACACTTTTCTTTTGAGGCTGATTGGTATGTTGGCCCTAAGTGTGTCCCGCAGTTTTCCAAAGGCTGCCCATGTTAAAGTAATTCGTCTTTGGATCCCCCATGTTTGGTTATCCCTGCTGATTCTTATTTCATGACCCAAATACGTATATTTCTCCACCAGTTCTACCACTTTGTCTTGAATAGTCAAATGGTTATTGGGGACCAAATTTGTCATAAACTTAGTTTTGGTCAAGTTCATTCTCAGGCCCACCTTCGAACATGCAAAATCCAATTCGTTTAACATATCTGTAGCTTCTCCTAAATTATCTGTGATAAGGACAATGTCATCTGCGAAACGGAGATGGTTAAGCTTTTCGCCATCTATCGTTACTCTCTAAAGGCATATTCTAATCTATCTTAAAGGCATATTCTAATGCCGTTATGAATAATTTCGGCGACAATGTATCTCCTTGCCTTATTCCACGATTTATTTTTATTGGTCGGGTTTTATTGTCTAATTTAACAGTCATAGTGGCATTTTTGTAAATATTATAAATAAGCTCACTATACCTATGGTCAATCCTGCTGTCATTCATTGCTTCTATAAGGCTGTCTAATTCGATCGTGTCGAACGCTTTATGAAAATCTATGAAAGTGAGAACAAGAGGTTTGTTATATTCTTTAGATTTTTCAATTAGTGTCTTTACTGTGTGGAGGTGATCATTGGTACCATAATTTGAGCAGAATCCTGCCTGCTCTCTCGGTTGGTAGAAATCTAATTCTTTCTCCAATCTTGATGTCACTACCCTAGTGAAGAGCTTGTATATGTGGTTCAACAGGCTAATAGGTCTATAATTTTCTAGGTCCGTTCTATCTCCTTTTTTATGCAAAAGGATGGTTGTATCATTGTTCCACTCTTTGGGCACCTCTCTTTGCTGCAAACATAGATTGAATAGATTCCTTAATTTATTTAATAGCATATCTCCTCCATTTACGATAGCTTCTATTACGATTCCATCCTCTCCTGGGGCTTTGTTATTTTTCATTTTTCTTAATGCTTGTCGAATCTCATCTAGCTTTATCTCTGGCATTAGTTCGGAACCTTGATTCTTGATCTTCTTTGAAATGGCTGTTTGTATTCCTGTTTTATCTTCTCGTCTACTTCTATATAAGTCCTCGTAAAACTCTTTTTGCTTGTTTCTTAATTTATGAATTTCGCATTTCCCATTCGTTAGCTTTCTACGTAGAACTTTTAGGCTGTTATTTTCCTCTATAGTGCGTTTAATATAATCGGTATTAAATTTCCTTAAATCTCTCCTAATTGCTTTCGAAACAGTTTTGTTCATTTTTCCTAAAGTGTTGCTATCTACATTCTTATCGCTTCTCATTTGTCTTCTTTGATCCAAGAGCGTTTCAGTATATGGACTTATTTTACTATCTGATTTTCTTTTAGGACAGTGCACTCGGTGACTTTTTTGTAATTTTTCATTTCATGAAATTTATTTTTAATCATTAAATTTCTTGTAATTTTTCATTTCATGAAATTTATTTTTAATCATTATATTCCTTTCTCTTTTTATATTGATTTGAACTTTCGCTCGTATCATCCTGTGGTCGCTGTTTGTGGTGAACTTGTTGAGTACTGTTACATCTTTAATTATTTGTTTTTTGATCACTTATGATGTAGTCGATTTCGTTCCTTGTTCTACCGTTTGGACTTTCCCAAGTCCATCTTTTGTGCATCTTTTTGTGAAAGAAGCTGTTCATGTTGAATTAGTTATTCTGGAGTAGGAATCCTAGTAGCTTTTCTCCTCGATCATTTCTTCCTGGGGAACCGAATTGTCCTAAAGATGTTTCTAGATCTGCTTCTTTTACCCCTATTTTTGCGTTGAAATCGCCACATAAAATTGTGAATTGAGTACGAGAATCATCAAGCGCAGTGGATACATCGTCATAAAACATTTCAATTTCTTCGTCTGTATGGTCTGTTGTTGGAGCGTATACTTGGATAATTTTGAGTTGATACCTACTGTTCAGCTTCAGAATAAGATATGCCACTCTAGATGATATACTTTTGATGTTTATTATCTTGTTCGCGTGATTTTTATGGACAAAGAAACCGATGCCTCCAACTGATGTAGTTTCAGGACCAATCTGATAGAATATATGCCCTGATTTGAGTGTTTTCAAAGTTTCACATCTCATTCTAACTTCGCTAATACCTATGACATCCCATTTTATTTTATTCATTTCAGTTTCCATTTCAGTGAATCTTTCCTCGGACAGTAGACTTCTGGCATTGTATGTACTAACGTAGAGAGTTATGGGTTTTTTTGGATTTCCGTATAGTCAGTTTTTTGTCCCCCCCAGAAGAATCCTTGGGACAGACTGATAAATCAGTGTGAGATTCTGGACGCATCCTACTCACCTGGGGTAGATCTGTATTTGTTTTAAAAACTGACATCGCGTTTTTAAGGGGTATATTGGCATTAAATCATATAGTATTCATGTATTCATACACGACAGTATTCATACACGATCTCTAATCAAATCCCCACAAAAAAGTACCTCTAAATGAATCACCCGTTATTAAGAATGGCTTCCATGCCATCTTTACTCTTTCTTTCTCTTTCACACATACTTAACAACACTTACCTTATACTTTTCATAAATTTATAATTAGACGTCTTTAAGTCATTCAAAAAGCTCGTACACATAGTTTGGTAGCCCTCTGAGAGATCATTTAATTTTTGCTCCATAGGTAACAACCGGTTTTTTATTGTCTGGACAAAGCCACGAATTTCAGAAGAGGAATTCATATTTCCAAGTTCGTTAGCTATCTTATAGCATTCGGCTTCGTATTCTTCACAACAACGGTTGCAACTCTCGTCATATTTGCTTTTGTAGGCTCTTAGTTGTTTCCTAGTATTTTCAACAAACTAAAAGAAAATACAAAATTGTTAAACTACTATAGCTTGGAAAAATATTTAGTGTTTTTTTAAAGATTTTGTTTTTCTTATTTTTAATATTTATAACATATGACTCTATTTAGTTATTTCTTAAAATTACATATTTGATTCTTTATCTTTTGTTTTGTGTTTATTTACACGTTAAAATTGGCTATATTTATATGTTTTATCAAATCTGAAAACCACTTGTTTACGAATTATACCATAAGTCTAAATCACATTTATTGCGTCTCTCAAAAATGGTGCGAACGCGATTTTGTAAATTTGACATGATTCACAAGGCCTATATAAATATAATCCCACTCGACAATTAGTCGAAATATCATTACTTCTTCCCATCGCGTCTTCGAAGAGTTCTTTGTATGTATGATAATAATAATTTATGAGTTATGCCAATTTAATTTTTTCTTTAAAATTATATACATTTTATTTTTTACGCCTTTAATTAATAAACAAGCTAAACTTTATATTTCCTACATAATCAAATAGAAAATGAAAAATTCGAATATTATAAAATAAAATTAAGATCAAAACAGTGTTCCCGAGACAAAAAATGTCGTATATAAATGTAAATTATGATTCTTCTTTGTTTCTTAAAAAAACCAACTATTTTCGCTTTCTTGTCACTTTACATACATTTATCCCCATTCTTTAATTTTTTGTAGAATCTAATTTAACCATGGCTCTGAAACTATTTTCTTGTGGCATTATTAACACTGATATTTTTTGAATGGGAATAAACCATAATTAATATGAGATTAAGCCACAATTGATTTTAATGTAAATTAAATATATAACCAAGTTGTTATTAGTAGGTTATGTTTTTCAAAATTGATGGTTAAAACAAAAAAAAAACTTCTACCACGTTATCTCTCATTCTGAAGAAAATAAGTAAAAGAAAAAAAGACATGTAACATTTGATATGTTGCGTGTTAGGATTCGAGCAGTTGTTAATTTTGTATTTAACCAGAAGCCTTCTTTAAGTCTATAAATCAAAATTTGTCTTATGTCATGTTGCATGTTAGGATTGGAGCAGTTGTTTATTTTGAATTTAGCCAGAGGCCTTCTTTAAGTTCATAAATCAAAATTTGTCTTATAGTAAATCTATTTGTATTCATAGTACCCTATGATGTCTCTATACGTTCATTATTAATGAGGATACTGTGTAGTATATTACGACTGCCCTTTTAGTAGTCGCCTTGTTTGTTTTTTCTTACTTAATATGTTCCTTATTCTTTTATTTGCTATATCGCATGTTAAAATTTCTTCAGTTGTTTATTTTGTGCTCGGCCAGAGGCCTTCTTGAAGTCAATAAATTAAAATTTGTCTTTTAGTTAAACTATTTTTATCCATAGTGCCCTATGACATCTGGTATGTAAATATACGTTCATTAATAATGAAGACACTATGTAGTGCCCTTTTGGTAGTCGCCTTATTAGTTTTTTCTCTCTTAATATATTCGTGAGATCCTTCGCTTTTATTTAACGTATCACACGCTCCAATCGGACGAATAACAAAGGAGATATGCTGTAATAGCCTCTTAGCAATGCCGCAATGTGTATTTTTTCTGTCTCCTATTAGCTGCCTCCTCTTCTTTCCAATGAGTATTATACGTCACGATCCGACGAACTATTCTACTCCTACCACAAAACGCTAAAAAAATTATCAGAATGAACTTTAGAATTTTCTTATGGGATTTTACATGGAAAGTGCAGCAGAAACGGCATAGCAACGTTTATGCAGGTATAGATTTTACTAAATTTTATTTAATTTTACTTAATTTTATTTAAATTATTATTTAATTTTACGTAATTGTGTTTAACTTGGTTTAATCTTATTTAATTCTATTTACCTTTATTTAATTTTATTTTTTAATCTTATTTAGTTTTAATTTTATGTTATTTTGGTAAAGCATTGATGTTTGTTAAACGTCATTTTAGTTTTAATGTAAGGGCTGGTTGTTCGAACGCTAATCAAAACTTGATTGTAATAAAATATTTAATTAAAATCAAATACGTCATATTTTGAGGTTATGTTGACTGATTTATTTTATTTAATTTTATTATTTTGCCTTTTAATTTAAAATAAACCATAATTAAACTCTTTCTGATGTTAATTTTATGTTTTTCTTTACAGATCAATAATAATAATAAGCAATTTTTAATAATTTTGACAGCTGCTGTGACTTTTTTGCTTATAATTAAATATTTGATTACAATTAAGTTTTGATTAGCAGTAATCTTACCTTTAAATTAGAGTAACCTATATTTTTAGCAATTTTGCGAAACAATTAATTACTTTGAGGTAGAAACATTTTTGATTAACAATATCTGAATCATCAATTTGTAGAATTAATTAGTAAGAAATCAACCGTATCGTTTCAAAAACAAAATATGATTGAAATTTCAAATGTTGGTAGTTCAGATTTTTTTTTCTAGGTGGCGTCATTGTCTTACTAGACAAACGGTGTGACTTGTCCTCATAGCCTTTTATATAGACAGATAAAAAAGCATATACACCCGGTATTGTCTAAAATACTTACATTTTTTTGGCACGTTAGGTGGTTTTCGTGGACTCTTAACCCCCTTAGTCGTTTTTCGTGGATGGAATACTTAATGTGCAGATACCTGGGGCGATGGAAAGCTATTTTCGTATCATATCTCTCCTTTATTTTTTGTTTTTGTATCTCCACCCACTCTTCAGTAAGTTTTTCTATTTCCTGCCGTCCTGTAGCAAAGTATTGCTCGATAGCTTCCCACAAACTAAAATATAGAGTATTATCTTCAATGAAAAACCAGAGAGTTAACATTTCTTGTAAGGAACAGAGCAGAAAGGAGCAGAAAGCTTGAAAAGGTCGAGTCCCTTTAAGTGCTGTAGCACCATGATAAAGATAATGATGAAAAATAAAGTGCTTTAGCTGCGCCACTTACCCAAACATCCAGTTTTTAACAGCATCGACTTGAAACACACAGTATAGAATCTGAATTGGCAAGATCGGATCTTCACTTTCTTGGAGGGTCATTTGACTTGCTCGTCTCCTCTGTATCTTAGGGTCCATCTCTAGATCCGGAGGATGTATGTCAAGAAATCTTTTTATTTCAGCCATTAGAACTTCTATGCCTAAATCCATCATATTTTTATATTTGTTAACGACTTCCATTTCGTTGACACTTTGGGTTTTGTAACTAAAAAGTTTTATTAAAAAGTTACTTTTACAACAAAATTATGAAAACACCCTATATGGATTAAAATCTAATTGATTAATATTATGCTTATAATAATAATACACACACATACACACATAGAGATCAACCCTACCCCTAGGAACATGTGTATACCATTATGTATTGGGTCCACATGTCCGAAGATCAAACCGGTCACACTTCGTTATTGAAGTGGTACCTATCTGACTCCCAGGCTTTTTCTCCACTCCTCCTCAGCGTGTGACTTACATGAGGAGGCTTATGATCTGAAAGTTACTTTGGGTGCCCTGGACCCAAACACCCTAACATCCTCTGTTTTTATTGATTGTGGTTAAGGCACTTAACTGTAGGGGTAGCATATATCAGCTTTTCTCCCTGACTTTACATTACTGACTTTATTGAATTTACTCATAACTTGATTAACTCACTTAACTTGGATATCGGGGACTGGTGTCCCTAAAAGAAAAGTGTGTGTCCCGAACACTATGTCCGATGACCTCGGTGCTCGGAATTAGCGATTGGATCTGCATACGATCTGCCTGGCCGGCCGTACGGCTGCTTAAAGGTCGATTCAGACACATCAGTCCCGTCATAGTCTCGGCGCCGAACCAGTCCTGTTTGGTCACAGAACTATCAACTATCTGACAGCTGGCAACTTTTCGTCAACTAATGAATGTGAATGCCGGCGCCATATTTCTATTAAAGAATATTTTATATGACGGATTGTTCGGTTCGGCGCAGATCTGTGACGAGACGTGACTGATGTGTCTGAATCGACCTTTAATAGGCCTGACGGGTCTATTATACCTTGGTGATTGATATTTAAAAGAGCAAGAGGAAATCTAATTTGTCTGGAGGCTGTGTTTAACAAAAGAAAGGTATTTTTTTTCTTTCTTTTTTACTTCCCCTTTCCTCTACTACCAGACCAAAATTTGGACCAGCACTAAGGGAAAAAGAAACGTTTTTAACTTAAATCTAACCTTAATATTTTTCTAAAGCTATGTTCTTGTGGCATTTTAAATTAATTACTATTTAACTGGGAATAAGTCACAATTAAAGATAAAAATACGTTTATTGACGTTTCAATTTTAACTTCGGAAATCGTTCTCAAAATACAAACAGTAAATTAAACAAATTTTGTTTTTTGTTACATAGTGAAAAATTCTTCTAATAATTTAATTTTATCTGACTCATTTATATTGAAAATTCAGACATACATTATGAATTTTAAAGAAGACGACTTTAAAATGATATTGCCAATATTGTTGAGTTGCTCTCCTGGGACGACTTTACTTATAAGATAGTTCATTCGATTACATGAAATCAATTTTAACTTGAGAACATCCGTCAGAAAAAAAATCATAGCATGTAATTCGTCTTTAAAAAGACAAACACATGACATGATGACAGTAAAATTCTCCTGTTAGTGATTCCATAGTAAATTATGAGGAAAAAAACCAGGAAAAAAAACCTCATAACACTATCCCGACATGGTAAGTATTTGTTCGTGCATTTAGTTTACCTTCAATAAACACCAAAATTTTGATTTTATATGTGTCGTTATTTAAAAAACATAAATAATGTATCCTCTATATGTTACTGACTTACTAATACTGGTATTTTCTTATTAATAACTTCCTCTGTCAATATTGGTAACCAGATCCTACTACATTCTGCCGAGGAATTTGCGACACAATTGGCCTCATTTAGCAGAATTAGAGCCGCTTCTTTGATTTTTCTTTTTTTACCATCCGTTTCTTTTAGGACTACATTTGAATTATTCCATTGAACCCTATGTTCATTATCCCATGCATGTTTACATATTTGAGATCTATCAAATTCTCTATTTTTAATATAAGCTTGATGTTCACTTATTCCAGCATTTAATGGCCTTGATGTTTCACCTAAATAAAACTGATCGCATTCACAAGGTATTTTATAATATTTATATATTTATGGAAGATTTTGAAACAAATATCAGTTCTAAACAAAATTTAAAACCCACAGGATGGCCTCATGGATCGGAGTTGTTGGACACATTCCTAAATGATATAAAAGATAAAGAAGAGACGATAACATTTACCATGGAAAAGGAATATAATAACACGCTACTTTTCCTGGATGTTTTAATCTCTAAGAACGATACTGAAAATGAGACTCAGGTGTATAGAAAACCTACACACGCCAATAGGTATTTAAATTTCAAATCAAATCACAATATTAATGTAAAAAAGGGAATAAGTAAATCTTTATACGATAGAGCCAAAATTACTTGTTCTAACGAAAATTCGTTCTTGGAGGAGAAACATTTGTTAACATCTGTTTTATTAAAAAATGATTATCCTTTATCGTTTATAAATAAGGAATTTTCAACAATCGATCGAATAGAACACAACTTAGAACTAGATCCTACAGCATACACAAGGAATAATACGAGCAAAATAACAATACCGTACATAAAAGGATTATCAGAAAAACTTAAAAGGATAGGAAATAAATTCAACATTTCAACAACATTCAAAACAACAAACACGTTGAGATCTATTATGTCCAAAACCAAACCTAACAATGAACAAAAAAGGACAAAGAATTGCATTTATAAAATACCTTGTGAATGCGATCAGTTTTATTTAGGTGAAACGTCAAGGCCATTAAATGTTAGAATAAGTGAACATCAATCTTATATTAAAAATAGAGAATTTGATAGATCTCAAATATGTAAACACGCATGGGATAATGAACATAGGGTTCAATGGAACAATTCAAATGTAGTCCTAAAAAAAACGGATGGTAAAAAAAGAAAAATCAAAGAAGCGGCTCTAATTATGTGAAATGAGGCCAATTGTGTCGCAAATTCCTCGGCAGAACGTAGTAGGATCTGGTTACCAATATTGAAGGAGGAAGTTATTAATAAGAAAATACCAGTATTAGTAAGTCAGTAACATATAGAGGATACATCATTTATGTTTTTTAAATAACGACACATATAAAATCAAAATTTTGGTGTTTATTGAAGGTAAACTAAATGCACGAACAAATACCATGTCGGGATAGTATTATGCGGTTTTTTTCCTGGTTTTTCCCTCATAATTTACTATGGAATCACTAACAGGAGAATTTTACTGTCATCATGTCATGTGTTTGTCTTTTTAAAGACGAATTACATGCTATGATTTTTTTTTCTGACGGATATTCTCAAGTTAAAGTTGATTTCATGTAATCGAATGAACTATCTTATAAGTAAAGTCGTCCCAGGAGCGCAACTCAACAATATTGGCAATATCATTTTAAAGTCGTCTACTTTAAAATGCATAATGTATGTCTGAATTGTCAATATAAATGAGTCAGATAAAATTAAATTATTAGAAGAATTTTTCACTATGTAACAAAAAACAAAATTTGTTTAATTTACTGTTTGTATTTTGAGAACGATTTCCGAAGTGGAATTGAAACGTCAATAAACGTATTTTTATCTTTAATTGTGGCTTATTCCCAGTTAAATAGTAATTAATTTAAATCTAACCTATCTAGTACATCCCTAGGGTTTTTTGGGTGCTTTCTGTCGTTCTTCGTCGTTTTGTTTGTGTGATATGACTATAATAGACTTCAGAGAAGATAATATATTATATCGTAGAAGACTTGTTATAAAACGGTATACTTTCTGATTTAAGAAAGTTTAAAATAATGTAAATAAATGTTAACAATTATTTTTATTTTTAAAACTTGGTAATTCACAGCGTTATAGCAGTTTTCTTCCACTCCGTATAGTATTTTAATTTGCGCCTTACAAACCTTAGAAAGAAAAATACGAATTGCGTCTCAAAATATTTGAGTAGAATAAACATAATCCAATTGTTTATTACATTTACCAATGACAAGACGCAATTTTCCAGTAAGTGGAAATCATAAAACCGACTGTGTCGATCTGAACTTTTGAATTCAGTCTTGGTCTGGCATTTCGCCAGTCAAGTAGTGCTGGGATTGTCCAGGATTGTCGATAATGTTATCACTAATAACACTTATATGGAACGAAGAGAAAATACCAACAAAATGGCACGAAAGTGTAATAATTCCTATCCATAAAAAGGGAGACAAAACCAAGTGCTCTAACTATAGAGGCATCTCCCTACTTAATACGGCGTACAAAATCTTATCGAACATCTTATTAAGTAGACTAACACCTTTGGTAGAAAATTTCATAGGGGAATACCAAGCCGGATTCAGAAAAAATAGATCGACCATAGATCAGATTTTTACTCTCAGGCAGCTGCTTGAAAAAGGATGGGAATTCAATAGAACCATTCATAATCTCTTCATAGATTTCCGACAAGCATACGACAGCATTAAAAGGGATCAGATGTGGAATGCAATGGCAGAACTTTCAGTTCCAAAAAAACTTATCCAGCTCGTTAAAGTTTGTGTAAATGGCTGTAGATCTAGAGTGCGGATAGGTAACAAGCTCTCAGAGTCGTTTGAAATAAACAGTGGACTGAAACAAGGAGACGCGCTGTCACCTCTTCTTTTTAATATAATCCTGGAAAAAGTAGTAAGAACCGCACAAATTAGAACAGAAGTACTGACAGTATATGGATCAAAATTACTACTAGCATACGCGGATGACATTGACATTGTAGAAAATAACGTCACCAATGTAAAAGAAACCTTCAATAAATTAGAGAGGCAAAAAATACCGGTATAAGGGTCAATGAAGAGAAAACCAAATATATGTGCATTAACAGACAAAAGAGACGAGATAGAATAGGACAAAATGTAACAATAGACCCCTATAACTTTGAAAGAGTGGAGAGTTTTAAATATCTCGGAGCGACTATCACCAGAGATAACGATATCACGGAAGAGATAAAAGGGAGAATTCAGACAGCAAACAGATGTATGTATAGTCTCCACAACACTATTAAATCCAGGAGCCTAACACGAACATCAAAAATCAGGATATATAAAACAGTAATTAGACTGGTGCTCATGTATGGGTGTGAGACGTGGACGCTGACAAAAGCAATGGAAAGTAAACTCAGATGCTTTGAGAGAAACATCCTCAGAAAGATCTTCGGTCCCTATCACGATCCGAATACTAACCAATACCGAATGAGAACAAATCCCGAGGTCAAACAAATGTATAGTGCTAGCGACGTAGTCCAAGAGATTAAATCCCAATGTCTAAGATGGGCTGGCCATGTTCATAGGCTCCCTAATAACCGCTTTACCAAGTTAATCTGGGAAGAAGTTCCGACAGGGAGAAAGCCCTTAGGACGTCCACGAATGCGATGGAGAGATAATATATGGTCAGATTTGAGAACAATGGGGCTGCCCACTGACTTAAACATCATGGACGACCGTTCGAGATGGAAGCAGGTTGTGCAGTCAGCCAAGACCCACCCGGGTTGTAGTGCTACCAGAAGAAGAAGAAGATAATGTTATCGATTTTATTTATGTCAAATTACAGTGACGTAGATTTTTAAATTGAAGGTCAAATTGAAGTACTTTGTGAAAATAGTGTATTATCTTAGTTTATATAAGTTAATTGTAATTAATACTTACGACAGTTCCATTTTGTCTAGTATGCTATAAATATTATCTAAAGCATTTGACAAAGCTTTCTCATTACTTCCCTCCCTAAGCTTTTCAATTTCTATGTTCAAACTAGCTTCGTACGTCTAAAAATACACGTTCGTATTAGATTTAACATAAGTTACAATAGTTTGTTAATAATCACATCTGTCAAGTGTCCGTTTCTCCTTATAGTTTCCTCTATATCTTTAAGAACAACGCCTTGAAGTTCTTTAACTCGGATAAAATGTTGGTCCCACAAACAGGCTGCGGCTATTAGAAAACTATACGTTTCGTTTATGGTGTCAGTCATTTCATCTATGCTATTTCCCCAGAAGTTCTAGAAATGAGTATTTTTATTCTATTTTTGTACAGAATTGGCCACTCGAAAGGGTCCAGCCTGATAGGGGTCAATATTCATGGAATTTTTCAAAGGGGTCATCTTTTATCGTTATAGACATATATTATTGGTACCATTAATATGTCAGCACATTCCAGTCCCAACAAATCTTAATTTTAAATAGGGAGTATACATACCACGCATCCATCATTATAGACAGATATTTCGCTCGAAAATGCAGGCATCTTTCACTTATACACCAATTTTATTTATTTATGTATACAATATTTTATTTACATTTACACATATATGTTGTCCTGTCAGTGTGTGTGTGCATGTAACCAAAGAGGGGTATTGCCCAGTTAAATCTGGGTATATACCCAGAGTGTTTGTAGAGAGAAAGGACTTCGAGCTTGCGTGATTTTTCGAGCGTAGTGCACTTTATTGATACCTTACAAATTGTTTGATAGAGCGAGGAAATTCCTGTAAAGAGGTGAGTATAGGAGGCGCCAAAGAGATGTTATATCCACACAGGATGGTTTCATTTGGCGTTCTCTGGAGAATACAGCGGTGGTGGTTGTAGCTGGTAGCGAGCCCGGCATTCGACCCTTTCGGCTCGAGTCCAGCACTGTTCTGTGGAGACTTCAGCTCTGCAGTTCGGACATAAAGTCTTCCCACCACATTGAGCAACCAAAAAAAAGGTTAACTTTTAAAAAAGAGTTAAAACAAAAATTATATATGTCTGAATTCTCCACCGAAATACCTGTCTAATGTGCCACACATAAGTTATTCCCTATTTAAAATTAAAAGTTTGTGGTACTGGAAGGAAGGGGGTTGACAAAGTTAAAAGATATTACATTTGAAACAAAAATCGGCCCAAATATCAGGTTTGATATCAATCTTTTGATTGAATGGCCAGCACTGTATATGAGAAACTAAGTAATAAAATGAAAGTAATGTAGTTTAAAATAACTTACTTGTAATTCCTCCAATTGGTAAGTGTACTCAATATTCAGTTGCTCCACAGTAGGTGTGTAAATGTCACATTTAAAATCTTCGATTTCCTTTTTATGACAGATTCCAGCGATACACATTGAATGTTTGATTTCATCGAGCTCGTCCAGGAACCGGTGGAAGAGTATAGGAATAACTGATTTGTAAAGTGAGACAATGTTCCTCGCCGTTTGGTCTGTAACAGATTAAGCATTTGTTTTGTGTGAAAGTCCCCAGGACATGGACAAAGGCAAAAGAAAAGCGTCATAGTTTTTAAAAAGTTTTCAAGATTTAAAAAAAACTACGCATTTTAGACGAAAACGTTCAACAGAAAATTGACTTGAAAATTTAAAAATCCTTCCTCTAGAATGAGAATTTCTAAATGAAATATTTATTATAAAAAATTATAGTATTTAACAAAAAAGTTATTGCAAATTAAACTCGAACGTAAGCTTTTTTTTCAATTGTTTATAATTATTAAAATAAATAATAAAAATATTTAAAACATATTTCACAATATGAGTTTTTATGTATATACTATATGTGTACAATTCTAATTTGTTTATACCATTTGAAAAAAAAGGTCAATTTCAAATCGCTGTACAGATGCTTTGCCAATACTTAGAAGGGTTTTTTGTCTTAGTCTCTTCGTAAGGTTTCAAATTTTCATGCTTTTAAAAAAACCTATTAATTTTTAATTATTTACTAATTACAAATAAGTGATGCAGAATGAGGTATTTTTTTTTATTAACGCATCAACCACGCAGGGCCATTACCGTATTTAGATTATGTAACATATGTGACAGTTGATACAATATGTGACTATACATTAGTTTACAATAATAATTATAATAGTAATAATATGTATGTGTGTTAAAATGTACGTTTTAGATCTTTAGAAGAAGTTGACAGTCTTTAAGAAAGGAAAATATTTTTCGGTTATCTGTATTTTCTTCTAGGGCATCTCTTAGGGAGTTGGGTATGCTATATTTGAGTCGTTCACTGTTATATTTCAGACACTGTATTAAAAAATGTTTTACCGTTAGAACACTGTTGCACACACACTGGCTTCACACACTGGTTTGTGTTTGCGCTGTAATAAATAGTCATGAGTAAGTCGTGTATGGCCGATACGGAGACGGGTAAGTATTACTTGCTTTCTTCTGTCTTTTATTGTTGGTTTCCAAAGATGTGGATGTTTGTTGACGTATAGCTTTGATGGAGTGTTGTTCCAAGTTTGTTGCCATTTTTGAATTATTTTTTTGTTTTAAGTATGGTTTTAAATCGTTTTGTACCAATATGTTACTTTTCTTCGGACATCGGGTTAGTTGGTGCGTTTTTAGCTAGTTTATCTACAGCTTCGTTACCTTCAATTCCTACATGAGAAGGCACCCATAAAAAGTGCACTTGGATGTTCTTATTAGAAATGTTTTTAAGTTCTTTTAAGGCTCATCCTCGTAAATCCTAACGGTAAATTTCAGTGGGCTATATCTATTTCAAAAATTTCTTTCTTTACGAAAACAAAATCTGTTTATGCAGTAATATTCTAAACTTCGATCAGATATCTCTCTCAAGCCCAGGTCAAAAATGCGTTAATCTTTTACTCGAGCCGATTATACAATCGGGACAACCCCTGAAGTGACAGGTTTTGGGCTTACAATAAAACCATAAATTTCTTTTTAGTGGTGTTTTGAGTAAATAGAATAACAGATTAAAGTAATATAATCTATTCATAAATTTACAATGTAACAAAGGTACATACATAATTTATTTGTTACTTTTTTTACGGAAAAAATTGGCGGTCTGAATTTTAACGTAGATAAAAGTTTACGGAAAATAAAAATTATAAAAAAACATTATAATTATATATCATAAAAATTTGATTAGTGTCACGATCATTAAAAATTGATAAAATGAAACTATATAAATATAGAATTATGTCTAATGTTTCTTCAGAAGGTGTTCCAAATAAAAATTATAATAAAAATCTTGCAATTTTTGTAGCATATTTTCCCCTAGTTCCATACCTTTATCAATCTTTTCAAATAAAATATTTTTTGGGGTCCATACCGCAAACTAACTATTCTCTATTCGATATAAATAACAAAATAACTGTCCTTGCACTGAATAGTAATAAGAATCAGTTCTTTTTAAAATTTCTTGAAGGAAGGAATAATTTAGTCCCGCTATCATTTCCAATTTTGATTTTTAATATTGAATTTGATAGGTTGTGGTTTATTACACCAAAATCTAATAAAATATAACATGACACAAGAAATAGTTTCAGAATAAGTTTGATGTGTTGTTTATTATCATTCAGTAAGAGACGAATTCACTTATTACAATACTAATTTAACAGACAATTATTTTTGTCAAATGAAAGAAATAAGATAATTTACTTGTGGTTAGTAAACGTCGGCCCTATGCAACTAATTGTCAACAAAGAACGGATTACAAAAGTTTAGATTTATGAGATTTATGAGGAGCATTTATGAAACTTAGATGTATACTGAGTACTTATTTCAAACATTTACAACTAAGGATTAAATTTGTTATATGTAAATATACTCCAAGATCTAGAGAAAATGGGAGTGTGACAATGGGAATTACTTGCACAGGACCGACAAATATGGGAGGCAATAGTAACCGCGTCAAAGAGTCACGAAGAGTTGAAGTGCCATTGATCATGATGATGATGATGAAATATACTGTATTACTATTTATATGGATGTGAAATATGGATCATAAAGAATAATATGATGGACAATTTAGGACGTGAGTCAGGTATATGATAAAGTATGGCAAAGATGCCATAACTATAAACTAAGACTACATTTACCAAAACGATACTTTCAAATAATTGACTCCTGCATCTTGTAAAGATATTTCAGAATTAAACAGGAAGAAACTTACACGGAACTGAAAGAAATTACAGCAGGACTGCCACAAAGAAGTGTCTTTACCTTTTGTATACATGTTATATTATTGTCCTAGAAAATAATACAATTGCAACAATTACCGATGATACTGCTATCATAGCAATATGCAAAACCAGCGAAGAAGCGACAAAGAAATTACGCAGATGTTAATCAAATACATACTCCAGGGAAATAAGCAAAAAATAGACCTTGTTCGTGACACTCAATAATCCAGGTCTCTGACAATTTTTTTAGTTATTGTAGACCTATAGGAAAAAAACCTACTTGTTTCCTACCTTGAATTTGGAGTTGTTTTTTAATTATTAACAATTTAATGCAAAAAAACGCGATTTTTTTTCTATGATTATTGATACTAGTATTAAAAAGAATAGATTTTTGGAAGAAAATTATTTTTGCACGAATTGTTTAGACAAACTAGACTATTTATTAATTAATGAATATATAAACAAATTACATATTTGTAATGTACGTAGAAATAACATACAAATTAAAAAAAGAATGATCAAAATCCATTGAGTAGATCTGGAGATATAGAAAATTTTATTAGTTTGAAATTGCTTGTTCGATATGGATCACAGAATGGATTTGTAGGTTCTTTCTAGTCACCATTTCAACTACATTTTTGAAAATTCGTAGAGGATCCTTTAAAGGTACAATGTTTGTGCAAATTTTTAACAAAAAATACAAATCCCATTCCATAACATGGCATCAATAAGGTTCTTTAATTATTATAATCAAATTAGCTGTGAATTATCATCTTTTCTGTTTGTTGATCTACTACTTGTTGTAATTGGTCGTAAAACGCTTCCCTTGTTGTTTGAGGCTTATTATTTTCTGGGCCGTATACTCCAATAATGTTCAGGTTTTTCTTCTCCATTCTTATGTTTGCTGTTACTATTCTTTCTGATATGTATTCACACTCTTTAATGTAATTTTAATACCTTTGGTGTATTTGTAAGGCTACACCTTCTTTGGCCCTGTTTTCTTTTGCTACTCCACTGTAGATTAGTATGTATTCACCTAATTTTGATTGACCTTTTCCTTTATTTTTTGTTTCATGTAGAGCACAAATGTCTATTTCTTTCTCTTTCAGCATTTGGGTTATTTCTTGGTCCCTTGAGTTAAGTGATCTGATATTCCAAGTAGTAATTCTCATCTGGGTTTTGGATATTTTTCGCTTGTCCTTACCTCTTGCCGTAGTCGTCTTCATAGTATCAATCCGGTTCCGAGGCTGTACATTGTTTCTTTAAGCAGTATTTGTTTTTACGATTGGTAGGTTGCTAACCAATAAATGTATATAGGTAATTAAATTTCATATTCAAATACTGCAAAATATTTGGTTATTGCTCTGAGCTGATGTAAAGAAGAAAAGAAAATAATAATTCTGATTGAAATACAAAAAAAATGTACTTGCTGATTGTCCAAAATTCTACGCTGTTTCTATGTACTTAATAACTTATTATTATATAAGCAAATACTGAAACAATAGTATTATTATAAAAACAGTATACATATTTAGAAGGAAAATGTCACAAGTTAAAAGAAAATATTTCTATTCGTATAAAAATTTAATCAAATTATAGGTACCTACTTACTGCTTATTTATATAAAATTTCCTATTTTAAATACAATAAACACACTGGTTTGTCAAAAGTCGGAATAAGCCCTAATCAGCAGCAGCAAATTGATTAAACCCAGCCTTAGAGAAATGTTCACCCGGGTAGTACGATTGGGTGTAACAATTCATTGGAGCAAGGTGTGCTAACTCGTGTAAAAACAGGAGTCACCCCACCGTGCTCCAATGCTCAAGACCATCCCTTTCCCCCCTATAGCAATCTGATTCGCTATAGAGGCACAACAATCAGCCAAGTGCTCTTCATGTGGAGGTCCTGGGTAATAGAACCCCAACATGGTTTCCTAATACGATTGTGAAAACTCAGGACAGCGCATCTCCGCTTTATTCCTGTTTATCTTACTGTGGCATATCCGCGAAACTAAATTTGCTTGCTGGGCATCAAGTCCCCGCTCTGAGTCCCGGCTCAGCTCGACGACTTGATGCTCGAGAGTGATGGGCCCTACGTGCCCGGGTTTTTGTGGTTTTTGTTAATTTTTTTGGTGGCCGAAGCCGGTTTTTTGTTAGTATTTTTTTTGATTTTTTTGGTGGCCGAGGCCGGTTTTTTTGTGTTTTTTGTGATTTTTTTGGTAGGTAGCCTGTGGAAAGAAAATCATAATTAGTATAAAGTCTATATCATAGCAAAGAAAATAAATAAATATTATACATTACCACAATATAGGCTGTATCCTAGTGCGTGCAACAGGGCCCACTAGTTGGGCGATGGCATATTATGGCGATTTGAGCTACGAACTATCTTCCTAGTGTGTGTGTTTTTGATTGTTTTTTCTTCCCACTCTGGTGTTTATAGGTTTTATCCCTCTGGTGGTTTTTTATTTCTCTCTCTGGTTTTGCGTTAATCTAATATCTGTTGTTTAGGTCTTTTGTGCTTCCATCTGTGGAAAGCGTCATACCTCATCATCTCTCTCAGTATGTGACTGGGGTGGTCTTCTAGTTCTGCGAACTTTTTCCTGGCTTTTTCTTTCATGGTATCAGTCACTCTGATTTGCTGAAGTTCTCTGAAAATGAACCTTTCAGCGACGTATCTTGGTACGTTAACTGCTTCCCTTAGGCTTTGGTTGTGTTGAGCCTGTATTTTCTTTTTGGTTGTATTGCATGTGTGTCCCCATGCTAATGATGCGTATGTTAGTATAGGTAGTATTATACTATTTATTAGCGTTATTTTGGTTTTAAGTCGTAGTTTGCTTTTTCTACCTGCTAGACCTCTTATTGCGGCTCTAGCTATGTTAGCTTTTTGTACCGTAGCTTCTACGTGTTTGTTGAATGTTAATCCTTTATCCATTTATGGCCCAATAAGCCCTAATAATGTTATTCAACATTATTTATCCTCTTCCGAGGGTCTTACCTACCTGCTGGCGAGAATCCAGAAGCTACCGACAAGGACAGCTTGTGCTGACGGATAGAGAATTACATTTAGCAGAACTTTGAAATTTTTAAAAGTTTATACCAAATAGCTGCTTTGTGTTACACTTTATGTTAAAAATAAAAACAGATTCGGAAAGTGGGTAAAATTCTCTAGTGCTCTATTTCAAAAAAAAAAATTTACGTTTATTTTAACCAAAATGTTATCCTCACCAAAAAAGGCATATACAAACAAAGGAGTTTTAAACATTGTATTGTGAATTGTCTCTTTTCTACAACATAAGTAGCGAGCCAAAGGAAAATTCTTCACATTCAAAATAAAGGCCTTAAGCTATCTTTGTTAGAATCTATGGAAATCAACAAATTAAAAAACACAGATATAATTCTGAATGACCGATTTGAGACAAACAGTTCTCCCCTCCTCAACTTATTTTATTAAAGACTATAAAGTGTAAACGCTTGCCAAAAAATAGATCTCTTGAGAAAAGCAGTCAGCCGAATCAACTATAGTGATAAGAGTTTATAATAAGTTTTGTGGAAGTTTTGAAAACAAAGTTTTCAGTGTTTTATTGTTACATTTTTTATTACCTAGAGATCCTAAAGTTTTTTGTACGCCTTTCAGCCACCTCTCCACTTCATGTCTCGCCACTGGAACGTTATCCTCACCAAAAAAGGCATATACAAACTCGGATTTAAGCGAATCCAACCTGTGAAGTTCTACAGGCGATAAAAATGACGTCGTTTTACTTAGATCTCTTGAGAGGGTTTCTCCGGCGAATCTATAATAATTATGACATAAAAAATAAAAAATTTGTATCAATATTATACTTATGCTGATAATAAAAAATGTACAAAACTTGAAAGGAGTTGATATTGTAACCAAAATTCGGGGTACCTTGATCTTCATCATCGTGAAACTTGGATTATAATAAGAAAGGCACATATCGAAATACTGGAAGTATGGATAGAAAGGTGCCAAGAAAACTATTTGGGAGAAAACAAGTAAACGAAGAATGATAAAGAAGAATAAATCAAAAGTTAGGAATTTTGCTCAATGAAAACATTATAAAGGCTGTGATAAGTGTGTAAAGAATTAGCTAGATGGGACATACACAAAGAGTAATACAAAAAATAATACCGAAAGTAGTTATCAAAAGAAGAATTGAAAAAAAAGTAATAAACAGATGGTGAAAAAACAAGTAGACAATCATTTGGGTATTTTGAGTAGAGCGGTTTCGACCCTGGAGTGCAAGAGATGCGGAGCAACCGAGCGAAAAGTCAAGAGGGCGGTGCGAGCCCTCGCACTATTAACAGAAGTTGAATTTAAGAATAGTTGAAGAGCAGATTTTCAAATCGCACTTTGTCCATATTTTCACAATCTAACTCCGTGGTGGCATTGGATTCGTCAAAACATTTATTAATTTAGATACTCATAGATATTCTAAACGTAATATTTTACGTATATTTTTGGCTTCAAAAATCACATAGACAAACAAAACGCATTTAGTCCAGTAGCGAGAGACAAACAAATAACCCTATTTTGCTTGCAAGGTTTTTTTTTTACCATGTAACGCCTTTATTTTATTATCAGAGATTGTAGGAATCAACAGTATATGATATAATTAGTGTTTAATAAGTTGTTTTTGACTATAATAATAATATTAAAATAAGTGAAGGTGAGCATATTGTGGGTGATATAAATAGAGAGACGAGAAAAAGAAAAATAAATACTACGGCAAAAGAACGTAAGAGAGAAATAAGGTAAATTGCAGGTTATGTTGTGTTTTTGTGATTTAATTTGTGTTATTTGTTTTAGACATTCAGATTTAGATCCAGAGTTACTGAATTTTGAAAATACTGTGTTCATAAATTAAAAAAAATTTGAAGATACCGAAGTTTTGTTGCCTGACATAAAAATCATTAGACAGAATTTCTACGATGATGAAGAATAGCATAAAAGTGCCCAGGCTAACAAATTAGCACATATGATGAATCCAAGAATAAAATCTAAGAAACAGAGACAGAAAATCCAAGGAAAATGCGTTTAAATTAGAAAGTGTCATGAAATTTACTTTGTCTTTGAAGAGCCATGAAAGTTATGGTAGAGCCAAGTCTAAAAAAAAACTATTTGTCATCTGAGTTAAACATAAGAAAACTCTGGAAAATGTATAATGATCAGATTCAGGATGATTCACTCCAAACAAACTACAAGTACTTTATTAGAATTTTTAGCAATAAGTTTAATATAGGTAGATAGTACACAAACAATTTTTGTCTTAATTTTTTTACTAACTTGCTCGCTTGTTTTAGCATTTGGAAGTCCAACTACTGATGTTTATGGCTTTTGCATAAGAACAAACACCATCAGATACATGAGATACATACCATCAAGGATGAAGAGCAAAGATTAAAATTAAAAATGGATTTAACTATTCAAAAGACGCAAGCAAAGCAGTTTTTTAAATCAATGAAGGGGGAATCTGCTAATAACGTGGCATACTGCTTTGATCTGCAACAGGTCCAAAATCTCCCAAAAGCGCCTATTACGGAAGCATTCTATGCTCAGCAACTGTCTTTTTATGCATTTTGTGTGACATCGAAGAAAATATACAGTCCATTATTTAATGTTTTCAAATGTTAATTTAATTGTAATTAAGTTCAATAAAAACAGTAACGTATTCAAGTCATTTCACCAGACTGCCTTTCTAAAAAAGACTGATTTTGACCCAGATATGAAACATCTAAGATTGTTTTCGGATGGATGATGGGGTCAGAATAAACATTCCCACTTGGTACATGCACTCACCTTGTGGCTTTTGAATAATACCCAAAAAACTATTCACGTAAAACATGCAGCATTTTCACTCAAAAAAGTTATAGGTATCAGTGGAGCCAAAAAAATAATCATAACTCGAGACAAACAAACTGCTGGGGAAAGATAAATCTTAAATAAAACACCTGGTATTGTATAGACATTATGACTTTTAAAAAAAATTTCAACTTTTTTTTTTAAGTTTAATTCAATCACAGAACAAAAACTAAGTAACATAGTACTGCCGGAATTGCCAATGATGCATGCTGTTAAGAAGAAAAACTGGGTAGCTTATCAAAATTTTTAGGTAATTTATCAGGTAAAGAATGAGCATTAGATCCAGAGTTAACTTGGTTAGATCCAATTTTGAAAGAGCAGCATCGTAAAAATATAATTGAAAAAGACCAGACCTGCGATCAACGTGAAGATGGAGAAGAATATTGCTGTCTTCGGATGACGACATACGTGTCATATGTTTTTTTACAATATTGCATTCCGAACACGCAGAAATGCATTTTCAGCTCATATGTTTATTTTAATCATTTAGAGACAATCAAACTACATTCATCCAGTCATTTAAAGAAAACCAAATGGCGTTTTGTACATTAATATTTTTTTCATTTGATGAAACTTAGAAATAGGATAAATTGATAATAAAAAAGTACATTTATTCTTATTTTGTGTTTTTATTTTAACTTTATTAATAATTGAGTAGCAGTTTTTCTCACTTCCTGAAAAATGTTAAAAAAGGACACAGTGCGATATGAAAGTCTGCTCCTAAGTTATTATAATTGTATATATAAATATCAATTTTTATATAGGCATGCAACTTCAGGTCGAAACTAGTTAGAAAATATAATCTTACATTTTGGTGTTTATATACATTTTAACCTGTTTTTCTCGCCACATCGATGATGTTTCAGGAAAATATTCGTCTGTGTTCTGTATTCTTTGCAGATACTCCTATCGTCTGTTAAAACATACGCTTTACAAATTCCTGTATCATTTGTCTTTCACTATTACTTACTAGATGTCATGATGTAGCCTATTTTTTAAATATATGGAATTGTCTGCAGTCGACCTTTAGCGGGTTAGCGGTTATAAGTGCTATGTTACTAGCATCAAGATCACATGAAGCAGCGTTAAGTTCCCAAACTGTTTCAGAACCTTTATCATAACCTTTTAGTTTCGTTTGTATATATTGTATATATTATTGGGACCCCTAATATTTCTTTTATATGTCAATGATTTGACACATTTTTTAACTGCAGAGCATATAGTTCTTTATGCAGATGATTCAACAATTGTAGTTGACGAGTCAAATGAAGTCGAACTCATATCAAAAATGAACTTAGTAGCACAGGAATTTACAACCTGGTGTAAAAGGAACTCTTTAATGGTAAATGCAAAGAAAACTATTTGTATGCAGTTCTACTCGCGCTGTAAGCCATCCCATGGTTATAAAATCACAGTTAGTTCTGAGGAAATACCTTTTAGTGATACAACATTATTTCTTGGTAGCATTCTAGAAAGTAATATGACATGGGATGAAAATGTCATTAAAGTCTGCAAAACAATGAATAAGTGTTACTATGCGATCCTTCAGTTGAAAACTTTATTTAACACCAATCAATTGATAAGTGTGTATTATGCATTGGTTTATTCATATATGGCCTATAATGTTATCTTGTGGGGAAACTCTTCTAGAGTTTTTATAACTCAAAAGAGAATTCTTAGATTGATATTCAATATTAATAATAGACAATCATGTCGTAAATATTTTATTGAACACAGGCTGTTGACTTTTCATGCTTTATATATTTATAAGTATATTATTCACGTCAAAACTAAATTTCAAAATTTTACCCTCAACTCTGACTTTCATAATTACCCGACAAGACACGGGAGGTTGATAAGCGTGTGTAAACACTCCACAACTCTCTTTGAAGCTAGTCCTGATTTTGCAGGATCTAAATTTTATAATTGTTTGCCACTTAATATAAGAAATGAAAACAATATTCATAAATTCAAAAATAAATTAGAAGCATGCTTGATCCAATTATGCGTTTACAACCTAAATGAATATTTTGACTTAATAAAAGACTACAGAGAATAAGGACCGACGGGTTCAGAGACGCTCTATATTGCATATCTTTGTTTTTTATTTTTATATTAATCTGTATTTTATTGATTTTGTTTTATGTAATTGTCCTATATATCTTGTTGATCATGCTTTATGTACTATATGACTTGTCCTATTTCACAATGTGATCTGATGGGATTAATAAAGAATATTCTATTCTATTCTATTTTCGAAACTTTGACGTTTAAATACCTACCAATAATTTCTCACATAATATTATGTGCTTATATTGGTACTTGCAATGTATTAATTTTTACAGCAAATGTTAAGTACATATCTATAAAAACAACAAGCAATGAAGTACGATTTCTAGACATACTCACGGTATTGATTTTTTTACCATAATCCTTAAATGTTCCCTAAGTAGATCCTTAATTATCATAATTTCAGCTGTCCATTGTTTAAAATCATATATTATTTGAAGCTTTAGGTCTTGTTCAATCTCTGCATAATCTTTATAATTCTTCATAGTAGCTTGGTTTAGTGCCTAATGAAACAATCCTCTATTATATACAGTAATCTATAAAATTAGTGGACCATGGTAGTTCATGAATAAATAATAGTTACCAGACTTTCTAGTTCAAACATTTCATCCAATACAAAAGGAAGTTCATGTGCTATTGCGTCACATTTAGTTTTTGACTCTTTTAACACATCTTTAAACTGTTGCATTCTTATTTGTTCGGTATCGTGCATAAATTTGCAAAATTCATCTACGGCAATGTGTTGATTTGCGTGAAAGTTTTTTAAGACTTTCAATGATGTAAACAAATAATTATCTGGAAATTCCTTTACCTAAAAAGATTGTTTAAGTTACTGACAGAAACAGGCAGAATCAAACGGTTAGGGTTTTTACAGTAGCGTGGTATTTCTTGGTAACATGCAAAATAAAAAGGCAGAAACTAACCAATATAATTGGTCAAAAATTATTCAACTCAATAATACGATACAGTCTATCAGCTAGATCTTTGCACAAGTATAACATTATTCAGAAGAGCAATACTCGAAGAACATTCAGACAATATTCGAAGATCAGCGCACTAGTATTGCTGCTTTAAGAGCCAAGTTTCATCTCAAATACAGGGGAAGCCGGGGAAATACCGCGCACGGGGAATATCGCGCATCAGTACACATCATATTACAATCGCATCGCGCACACAGGTTTGTAATATGACTGCATTCATAGTATTGGTTTAGAAAAGGTCACAGATTGTTTGTTTTTCAAGACTTTGATGTAATTTTTGACTAATCTTTAACACGCGGTAAGTGCTTTTGTTATTAATTTTCATTAAAACTATTCAGTGAATATTTTGCTTTATATTTATAGATAATTTCACGTACAAAAATAATGCATTTTATTTAGTCATTAACGAACAGTAAGTGATAAGTTAGGTTACTCACTTAGGGAGAATACTGCGCAGCTGCTTCGGGGTAATTTCATGCTGCGCGGTATTCCCCAGAGTAGAAATTTTTGCTGATATAGGGTTTTTATTGCATTTTAGATTTCAAAATGCCCCGTGCTTACGTTACGGCGAAAAATACGAGAAGTAGGTCGATTATTCAATATTCCAGAATCCACTCTACGTGACAAACTAAAGTTCAATAGCCATAAAAAAGTAAAACTTGACAGGAAACTAATTTTTAACGATGAATAGGAATCCACCATAGCCAACCATGTTAAAAAGTCGACGATAATGTTTTTTTGGAGTCACACAATCAGAACTAAGGCGTTTAGCATACCAGTTTGCTGAAGAGAATAAAATAAAACATCGTTTCGACTCGATAAAGAATATCGCTGGTGAAGATTGGTTAGAACTCTTTTTAAAGCGTCATGCAGACATTATTGCTAGAAAACCCGAAGGTACCAGTCAAAACTGTATTTCTGTATTCAATAAAGATGAGTTTGAACGATTTTTTAACAATCTGTTCACAGTTATGGAAAAGTTTTTATTAATTTCCTGAGAGTCGAATTTTTAATGTAGATAAAACGGGCATTTCTACGGTCCAGAAACCATCAAAAATTTTGGCACCAAAAGGTCAAAAGCAAGTAGGATCCGTAATATCTTGGGAAAGAGGGAAAAATGTTACCATAGTATGCGCTGTAAATATTTCAGGACAGTTTGTTCCTCCTATGTTCATATTCCCTCGAATGCGTATCAATTCACAATTAATGAGAGGAGGCAAGGACATTGGCTATTCTGATTTCATGACCAAGATATAGGTACTTTTCTTTCAATTCTACCACTTGATTTTGGATGATTAGGTGTTCCATCCATCCAATGGCACTACAGCCCAAGCCGGGCCTTGGCCTCCTTCATTAAACCTCTCCAAACATCTCTATTTACTGCTGTTCTTTTCCATGAACGCGTTTTTAGGAGATTTTTGGCATCCTCATCTACCTCGTCTTCCCATCTCTTTTTTGGTTTTCCAACAGGTCTTTTCCCTTGCATTCTTGCGTTTAGTAATTTTCTGGGGATTCTGTTCTCATGCATGCGGGCCACATGCCCTGCCCATCGTAATCTCTGCAGTCTAGTGTATTGTGCTAGTGTTGGTTCAGTGTATTGTTCGTATATTTCGTTATTATATCTAATTCGCCAGTTGTTATTTTCCTTTATTGGACCCAGTATTCTACGCAATATTTTTCTTTCGAACACGTCTAATGCATTGGTAGATTTCTGTGTTATAACCCATGTTTCACACCCATAACTTACTATTGGTCGGATTATTGTTTTATATACCCGGAGTTTTGTTTTCCGGTGTACGTCTCGCGATTTGAATATGTGGCCCATCGCGAAATAGGCTTTGTTTGCCAGCATAAGCCTTCTATTTATTTCCGGTTCTTCTTCATTATTTTCGACCAGATCCATTCCTAAATACGTGAATCTATTCACGTATTCTATATCGTCTATAAATTGTTGTTGTTGCGCCTGTCTATTTTATCTGGTTTGTATGAGTAGTTTTGTTTTATTTGTATTTATTGTTAGCCCTACAACTTCTGAACTCTGTTTCAACTGAACGTAGGTTTCTTCTGCCGCAGTCTTTGTTTTGCTCATTATGTTTATGTCATCTGCGTATGCTGCTAATTGGGTAGATTTGTTTGTAAGTATGTTATTTTTGCTCACCGTCAACCGTCTAATTACATATTCAAGAACAAGATTAAAAAGTGTTGGAGCCAGTCCGTCACCTTGTTTCAGTCCTTGCGTTGTCATAAACGCATCAGTGATCTGTCCTTGAATACATACATGTGCTTCTGTTTCTGTCATTGTCATTTGCACTAGTCTTATTAATTTTGATGGTATGCCAAATTCTTGTAATATATTAGGTAGTATTGTTCTATCTATTGAATCATAGGCTTGCTTGAAATCTACAAAGAGATTGTAGACGTCTATGTCATATTCCCATGCTTTGGCTAGTATTTGTTTAACTGTAAATAGTTGGTCAATAGTAGATCTATTTTGCCTGAACCCTGCTTGATATTCCCCGATAATTTTTTCAGTGAGGGGTTGAAGTCTTCGATTAAGAATGTTTGTGAGTATTTTGTATCCCGAACAAAGTAAAGAGATGCCTCTATAATTCTGGCATAACAGTTTGTCTCCTTTTTTATGAATAGGGCAGATTATACTTTTCTTCCATTGTTGTGGGATTTTTTCTTCTCTCCATATTTCTTGTATAAGCTGGTACATCTGTTCTGTCAGATTTGTTCCTCCCTGCTTGAACAGTTCTGCCGGTATCTTATCTATTCCCGGCGCTTTATGGCTTTTTTGCATTTGGATTGCTGTTCGAACCTCCTCTAGCGTTGGAGGTCTAGCCAATTCATTATCTTCTCCATCTTCCCACAGCTCCTGTTGTTGACCTTCCTGTTCTACCTGCTGCTGCCGCTGTTGTAGTGGTGTTTGTGCCCTTTCGTTTAATAATTCCTTAAAATACATCATCCAGGTTCTCTTAATTTCGTCCATATCGCTAATTATTTCCCCATTCTTATTTTTAGATAGGCTAGTCTTCGGTTTGTAACCCTCTCTTAAATGTTTGATAAGTTGGTATGCACTGCGTGTTTCGTTTTCCTTGATTAGGTGTTCGCTAGGAACTAAAGTTGTCATAAATTTGGTCTTACTGATGTTCATTTTTTGACCTATTATTGAAGATACGTTTTCTCTTGTAGCATTTGTTGTGCTTCACCCAGATCTTCGGTAATAAGTACTATGTCGTCGGCAAAACACAGATGATTAAGCATTTCTCCATCTATTTTTATTTATCTATTTTCCCACTTTAGCATTTTAAAGACGTATTCGAGGACCGTTATAAATAATTTAGGTGAGAGAGTCTCACACCTCGCTTGTTATGAATTTCTTTGGTGGTATCTTGTAGTTTTACTTTATACCAAAACGCCACAATGCTTTAAACGGTGATAATAGGTCACGGGAGTGAGCAGGTGATACATCCTTGGGATGTGCGATCTGATAAGAAAATGAGAGTTTGTTTTGATATCGATGTCGATTGCGAACTCCACCGCACACATCCATGTATCTTCGTTATGTCCGTAAGATTATTCTTGAATATTTTGCTTTTTTGAAAGGAACTATAATTCTTTTAGTAAATATTCATATGGATATAGGTAGATTTTACAAAATAAAAATATTTACCTCAGTCTTTGACTTAACCGTAGCTAGAAAAACCTTAACATCCTCCTTTATTTTAGCTAGTGTCTTTTTTACTTCTTCAGCACTGTCTTTAATCTTTTGATCCATTACTAAATTAATTTCTGCCATCTTGTTTCGCATCCATTCCATTGTCTTATTATGTTCATATTTTTTCCTTTCTAACAATCTATTAATAGTTTCGGAAGGTTTTGAGACAGACTCTAAAACGTATATTAAGGTAAACTGATGGCCAATGGAATTTATACAGAGTGCACCAAACCTCTGGCTTTTTTTGATTACAGTTAAACCAACGGTTCCCAAACTTTGTTGTGCCACGCTTTCTTTTGTTGAAATGAAAGTGTTTCACGTCCCGCACCCCTTAACAATAAATTGTCAAAACCATAAAGTGTAACAAAACAAAAACAAGTAAGTATTACATAGAAAACAAAACATTTATTTATACTGCTATAAGATACAATAATATCAGTTTTAATAAAATGCAAAAATTATTAATAAAAGAAATATAGAAGAGAGTTTCATCTCGAAGGTCAAATAATCTTGCCAACATGTTTACTTTTGAGAGCCATCGTAGTTCTATATGAAATAGCAATGCTTTGTGATCACTCCTAATAGATTAAGGGAACCACAAACAAAGGAACAAACTGTAAAAACTCTTATTGAAAATCTACGTAATGCCAAAGAACTAAATAAAAGTAGCTATAACATTGATCAGAAATGGGAAAATATAAAAGTAGCAATAATTAAAACAGCAAATGAAAACTTAAAACCAAAGAATAGAAAACATAAAGATTGGATGACTGAAGAAATGCTACTATTATTGAATGAAAGAAAATCATTCAAAACAGAAAATCCAATTAAATATAATGAAACTGATTGATTAATAAAAAAGACAATAAAAGAAGCTAAGGAGAGAATGTTACATGAGCAGTGCCAAGAACTAGAAGAAATTGAGAAAAAATATGACTTTTTTAACATGCATAAAAGAATTAGAGAATTAACAGGAATGAGAAAAACACTTCAAACTAGGCAACTAAGAGATAAAAGGGGTGCACTAATAACAGATATAAACCAAAAAATGCAGAGATGGACACAATATATAGCACAACTTTTTGAAGACAAAGAGAGAACAGAAGCACCAAAAGAATTTAAGGATGATACTGGGCCTGACATTATACGAGAAGAAATTGAATATGCAATGAAACAAGCTAAAGGTGGTAAATCTCCCGGGCCTGATGAAGTTCCTATCGAATTACTTAAAATTGTGTATACTGAATCTATTGATCTTCTTTTGGATCTATTCAATACCATATATAGAACAGGTATAATACCTAAAGAATGGCTCCAATCAACATTTATACTGCTTCCCAAAAAGCCAATGCAAAGGAATGCAATGAACATCGCACCATAGCCTTAATGAGTCATATCTTGAAATTGTTTTTAAAAGTAATTCATAATAGAATACATAAGAAATTAGATGAAGGCATAAGTAATACACAAATGGTATTTAGGAAAGGACTGGGAACACGAGATGCACTGTTTGCAGTAAGTGTTCTTTCGCAGAGATGCTTAGATATTAATCAGGAAGTATATGCCTGTTTCATTGATTTTGAGAAGGCATTTGACAGAGTGCAGCATAATCGGCTTAAAGAAATTTTATTAAATAAAAACATGGACAGTAGAGACATTAGAATCATCTGTAACCTCTATTGGAATCAAACAGCAAAAGTGAAAGTTGAAAACGAACTGACCAAGGATATCCAGATTCGCCGTTGGGTCCGCCAAGGGTGTATTTTATCACCCTTGTTATTCAATTTATACAGTGAAGCCATCTCAGAATTAGCGCTTGCCGAGAGCAGAGAGGGCCTTATAATAAACGGTGAGCCACTTAATAACATCGACACCGACCTTCTGGCAGGAACACTAGAAGAACTGCAACACCTTGCTGAACAACTAAATATATATTGCAACGATTATGGACTAAAAATCAATTTGAAGAAAACCAAGTTCATGGTATTTACAAAAGCACAAAACATCAAAGTTAAGCTAGTACTAGATAATACAGAAATTGAACAAATATCTTCGTACAAATACCTTGGAGCATGGATCACAGAAGATACTGATCACACAAAAGAAATAAGATGCCGCATTGAAATTGCGCGGTCAACTTTTAATAGAATGAGAAAACTTTTTTGTAATCGCGATATCAATTTATCTCTCCGGATAAGAATGCTTCGATGTTGTATTTTCTCTACCCTTTTATATGGAGTTGAAGCTTGGACACTTAAAAAATCCACCATTAAAAAACCTAGAAGCATTCGAAATGTGGTGTTACCGACGTATTTTGAAAATATCATGGATGGATCGCAAAACAAACGAACAAGTTCTCGAACAACTAGGAAAACAATGCGAAGTTTTAAATTCCATAAAAATCAGGAAATTTGAATACTTGGGGCACATCATGAGAGGTGAAAAGTACGAATTACTAAGGAATATAATGCAGGGTAAAATCAAAGGTAGAAGAAGCGTAGGAAAACGTAAAATCTCGTGGCTACGCAATCTCCGTGAATGGTTTGGATGCAGTTCAATCGAACTATTCAGGCGAGTAACAAATAAAATTATAATTGCCAGAATGATTTCCCATCTCCAATAGGAGTGAAATTTGAAGAAGAAGAAGAAGTGATCACTCCCTAAATCTTCACAAAGAGTTTTAAATAGCCGAGTATCCAACGCACTGCTTTTTATGTAATTCACAACTTTAAGACACGATTTAGTTCATTTGAAAAAGTGTTTTGCTGCCAAGGCTTGTCGATGTATAACATAATGTATCTCAGTCACATCGGCATTTTTCTCTCTTACTAATTGTACTAATGCTGAACGAGAACCAAGCACTGAAGGCTCATCATGTGTACATACACCGATCAGTTTTTGCTAAGAGAGTTCATGTTTGTCAAAAAAATCTGGCACTGCTTTCATAACATCAATAGCTATTGTCGTGGTTTTTAACTTTGTAGAAAAGAGTAGCTCGTCTTTCATTCTTTTGTTTTCAATATACCGAACATTAACAATTAACTGAGAACATTGTGCTATGTCTGTACTCTCGTCTAGCTGAATAGCAAAAAATGGCAATTGTTTTACTGCATCCACTATCTAGTTTTATATGTCTTCGGCCATATCATCAATGCGACGTTTCACAATATTGTCAAAAAGAGATATTTGAGATAACTTTTGCTTACTCTGCTTTCCAAAAATAATATCAGCTGCCTTTAACAAACACGGTTTAACAAGCATCTCTCCAATAATGTGGCTCTTCTTTTCTTTAGCAATCAGAAGTAATAGCTCATATAAAGCTTCAAGCTTTTTCAGATGACTGAGCCGTAGAATCAGCACTGTCCAACTTTATGCATTTCAAATGGATTCGAGAGCCATAATGAAACACTGATAAACATTGATTACGAAACTAACATGGATGATTTACTCTCAACTACTACACACTCTCTATCGTACACAGGGAGCTCACGAAAACCACGCACTCTCACCATCTTAAGTAAATGGTGGACATAAATCATGTAACTAACAAAGCTAAAAGTTTTATAGTGATATCTACAATGCACCATGACAATGTTGTTGATGAACAAAATTTTACAAAGGCCGGTGTGAATACCTTGGATCAAAAATGTCTGCCAAATATTCTGCAGTTCGCAGATCACAAAAATTACAAATGGCAGTGTTTCTTGCTGTTCTAAATATTAAGGGCATTAACGCCAGAGTGTTATATCAGTTTGCAAATAAAGGAAATTCTATTCCTCAGAAAAAAATACCGAAACTGCCTAAAGCTTGTACATTACAAACATGACGAGAAGAATATTCTACAATAATTTGGTAGCGACTGTGGATCATACAATAATTGTAGATGCTATTAGGACAAAACAACTTACATGGTACGATCATTCACAGAGGATGGCAGCAACTGTTAAATTGGGTACTGACAGGACCTAGAAAACGTGAAAAACCACAAAGAAGCTAGAGAGGAGGTGTAGATAAAGAAATTAGAGGCAGAAACTTAGATGAAGACACATAGAGAGATAGAGATGGATGGCGACTGGGTATCGGAAGACGTAGAACTTTGTACATCGATTTATATTATATAGTCTACGGCACAAAGAGGTTTGGTACACACAAAAAGAGGCACAAAGAGGTTAATTTCAAAAACTATTAATGATACCTTAGCGTAAAAGTAGTTTTCAACACATATTTATATTCTACGTATTTCCAAATTGAAAATTGCTAAGTAAAAATTTTTGTAATAAAAAGCTGAACTTACTAAAGTCGTATGGCAAGCTTTTGATATCAAAATCGTCAGACATTGCGACAATGTTTATAATCAAATATGTTATTTCTTATATTTATACAGATATCTAATAATAAATGTTACAAATAGATTTTTTTTGTAATTGACAAGTACAAATCCTTGTCAAAATATCTGTTATCGGAATTTATTCTACGGCCAATTTTTAGCATGTGTGTATGTGTGTGTGGTTGGAAATATGACTGCAGATAACTAGATCCTTCTTCTTCTTCCATACTTTTGCTTGGACTTAGCTACCAGGACTATCCGGCCAGGATCTGTGTATTTACACTGAATGTTCAAGAGCCGTACCTAACGTACATCTAGCCTTAAGCTTATAGCTCCTGAACCTGCAACCATAGTTAAAAGGAGAAAAAAAAAGTTAAAATCAAATGTTTAAAAGTTCTTTCACATAAGTTCCAAAGGTCTATTGTTCTAGTCCTATAATACTGCACCAAACCGCACTAAGCACATGAAATCCAAGCAAGCAGAATAAATCTTATAATGTACATTAACGAACTACATTTGAGACCTTGTTAACGCTAAACACTTTTGCACTGCAAGCAGTAATTTTATACTTCTTCTTCTTTTTTGGCTTTTATTCTACTGAAGAATCAGCCAGTACATTTTTTTGTTAGTTTTTTGGCCACTGTCATGAGTCTGAGAATATATTTCATGCCCTATTATCAGAGGATATAGTATATACCTTAGACAAGGCAAGAGAGAGGGTAACACTCATTTAATAAACCTTCGAAAAGTGAAGCCAGTTTCGATGTGACCGTCATGTTTTGGTGCCTGTACGTTGCCCATTACCACAGAATAATAAACAATCAGAAGGGCCACTCTCAGATGCCGCCTTTGAAGTTTTTCAGCACGTGCGCCATGTTTTAGGAGGACACAAACATATGATTTGTGAGGTTATGCAATTGTTTACATTTATGTTTAATTATATTATATTTATGTTATTATATTTAAAACTGTTAATATAATTGTATAGTATGTCTATGATTGCCGTAAATCAAATAAACCTGTTTTTTTTTCCATGCACACCACATAAACAACACTGGTTCCCTTTAAAATCCTCGTAAAACATGGCGGAACGTCTGCGCGAAGGAGATGCGCGTACTTAATTTTCCGTGGAGAGTGAGCATTCTGTTTGTTTATTATTCTGTGCCATTACTACCTCTCGCAGGGTTACCAGGTCTACTGATTTTTCAGTAGGTCTACTGATTTAAACTTCAATTTAAAAGTCGACTTTACACTATATGATTTATCATATGGATTTGTTATGATTCCTCGTTTCTACGATGTTTTCAAAAATCATATTTACACTGAGTGATAAGTTATGACTTATGATATGAGTGATAATGAGGTTTTGTTGATTTTTCTTTTTGTTTCTTGTCGTATAGATATTAGACACAGTATAAGTAACAACTAGTAGATTTATGAACATTATAATGGAAAATAAATATTTGTTTGCATTGGCTTTCTGCCTTTTAATAATAAAAAACCAGCAACAACTGCGTACAGCTAATAGTAAGAAGAAAAAGATCTGATACCTTTTGGGCTCGCAGGTGGACCTTACGAAGAGATAGTGAATCGGGTATATCAAATTTAGTGTTAGGGAGTTAAAATTAGAAGAGCCAGCAAGTTTTAAAAATTTTTGCCGCATGCCATCAAATGCTTTTGACGAACTTCTATATATTAAAGTCGAACCTCTTATAAATTTATAAAACATTCGAATACACAATAATTTTTCAAAAAAGGGATCATTATGTCAGTGTTCAATTATAAATTAAAAAAAATCTATTTATTGATATATATCTATTATTCTCAATCTACTGAAGAAATAAAATATGATCTGGCAACCTTTTTGGTGCCTGTTTGGCTTCAGTCAATTGCATATGCGTCTATATCCTTTGCTATTATGTTGAGTCCTTTGGTCTAGGCTGTAAGTGAGTCTACATTTTATTTATTATTTCTGTTTTCATTATAAGTAGTTTAAATGTTAATATTGGGTACGTTATTATAAAGGTTATTATTTTATATGGTTGATCTGTTGGAATCTGAGAAGAATTTTAATAATTTTAAGGTTAATATCGCACAGAAACATTAGTATGTCAATTGGGGTTTTAATATTAATTTTGATCAGTTCCTGATATATATCCTAATCATTTATTCTGTTCTATCGGGTATTCCCAAAATACGTGTTCTAATGTTTCCCTTTGTCCATATTCACAGTATCGGTTATTGCGAATGTTGATTTTATATAAATGTACTCCTCTCATACAATGACCAGTCTTCATTCTAATAATGGTAGTAATATGGCGCCAAAGTTTATTAGGAAAGAAAATTTGTTTTTTTTATACCACTTACCTTTATATTGAAATGAGTTTAACCAATTATTTTGATGCATAAAACATATTTTATTGTTTAATAATGGTATGAAATCTAAGTTACTTAATCTAATTTTAGCAGGAATATTTAATTCAACCCCAACCTTTGCCAGTTTGTCAGCTATTTCATTTCCCTCGATATCATTATGTGCAGGAATCCAACATAATCTAATATATTTCCCATATTTATTTAAATAGTATAGTTTCGTTTTAACTTCCAAGACTCTGTAGTTCTTTGTTGCAGTTATCATATTGTTATTAATTTTGTCTTTTTGAGTCCGTAAATATTAGATCTCAAATTTTTTTCCCTCACAAATCATTAGGCCCTTTTCAATAGTTATTATTTCAGCTGTACAGATATTAATAAGTGAAATTACTACAGAGAGTATTATAAAACTACAGAGAGATATATTTAAGTGTGTATATTAGACTTTCAATTAGAAAAAAACTAAGAAAAAAGTAAATGTGTATCATTTTATTAACAAATAACAGTATTTCATTCAATAAACAGAATGGCAAGATAAAAAATAAATAATAAATAAATAAAATTCACTAAGCTACCCTATTCCGCCCGTTTCTTTGGTTGAATCCTGTGCCCGAACTCCTCTGAAGCCATATTCTCTTCCTGAGAATACTCATCGTAGTCTCTCGACTCTTCTTTGCTCTCTTCTTTCCTACTACCTTTAATCGTTTCTTCCTCGCCCTCGTATTCGTCAGACATGACGATTGTTAAAGGCTCGTTGGTGTCTTGTTTAGTAGGAGATAACTTCATGAGATTGCTGTTGACCTTCCCAGCTGTTTGAAGCTGAGCCAGTCGTTCAGCAGCTTCTTTACTTGGTAAAGAAGAATAGAATGTCGTCTCTATTAACTTTTCCTCTACATTATCTTTTTTGGTATTTGATTTGGCATCTGCTTCGATGTGATTGTCAGCTACATCGCTCCTACTATCAAAATAGCTTTGAACAATCTCTGCTTGTGCCAATGGATCTACTGAGTTCCTTGAGGAAATTTTATCGCCTCCCAGATTATACGTTGCTGATACCAGCGAAGACATGTCTTTTTTAGCTAAACTTTTTTGATGTGCTTGTTCATCGTAGTTAAAAGAGTGGTATTCTGGTTGAAAACTGATCTTATCACTGGCTATTTGGATTGATTCTTGAGGGAATTGTTCCAAGTAACCTGGGTCTGGCTGGAATAGCTGTACATTCTGAAAAGAAGAAAATATTAGTTTCCACAAATTAAAATCAGTCACAGATTAGATTTTTTTTTCTGAGAGAAAAATCTTGGCATATTATAATGCATTGATTAAGACAATATTAGCTGCAGACGCAGATGAAACGTTAGATAGTGCTAATTCTGTACACTGCCATATGAATTCGTGCCATTACTATAATATACTGTTTATATTGTTAAACACTTACTGCATTGGAAGTAGCTTTTGGTATCTGCAACTGCGGATAATTGGCATTCACAAGCTGGTACAGATCCCTTGGACTCAAATTATTGCTGAGAATAATATCTCCTTGTGGATTTGGCTCCAACGTTTGATGCACCGGATTCTGATCAGTAGCTAACAAAAATTGCTGCTGGTTGTGTAGCTCCTGTTGTTGATGATTGTGCAGTTCCTGCTGTTGTTGATGGTGCAGTTCTTGCTGTTGTTGATGCAGCTCCTGCTGTTGTTGGTTAAGTAGCTCTTGTTGAACAGTCTGCTGTTGCATCTGTTGGATTTGTTTCTGAATCTGCATCTGGATTTGCTTTTGGTGTTCTTGTTGGGCTCTTAATAACTTCTGGTTGTGCTCTGGAGGTTCCGTCACTTGATATTCGTGGCTCTTTTGAATAGTGACTTGCGTATTTAGGTGGGAACTATGGTGAGATGGGTGTGGGAAGCTGATGTCATTTCTAACTTCTTCTATGTGCAGTGGCTTATCTTTAAGACTTAAATTTGGGGCAGGTATTGTATGAATGGGCCCTTTTTCACCTATTTGCTTTATAGGATTTATGTGTGCTGTAGGGATTTGATTGGTTTGAATGTGGTAGTCGTATTCCTGAAAAATATTTGTAATGTAATTAGCAATAAAAGACGTAGCATGAAAAGTTTAGAGAAGACAAATAATATGCTTATTTATTTTTCTAACAAGGTAGCAGTTGGTGAACAAAAGCTATGCCAGGACATCGAAGATTGATACTATCTTATCAAATTTTGTCACTTAGTAGTTAATTTTAAGTATAGAGAAAAATCTTTACTTTTACCTGTGATGGTAGGCTTGGTGCAGATCTAAATGGTTTCTCTGGTGGTGGTGTAGGTAAAGGTGTTTTGAAAACTACTTCTTGTTGAAGCTTGACCGGGGCTACAGGGTTTTTCCAAAATGTTCTTACTGGAAGAGTAGCTTGTCTTTGCGGTAATTGATGACCGATTCCATTAGGTTGTGGTATCTGAAAAATATGTTTTTCTATTAAGACGCTCTTTGGCTTGTTAAAATAAAAAAGACAGCAAATTTGCTGTCTTTTTTATTTTATTCGGATCTACTCTGTACGAGTACAAGAAACCAATTCGCTAAGGATTTCTGCTTAGTTAAAAAGACATGTCGTAGAATGCAAATTTTAGATTACCCATGTTTCTTTTAACACAAGCAGAAATCTGAATTGTGTTTCGAAACTATTTTACGGTTTTATTATCAGATGTCGCTATTGCGTCCATATCGAAGCCATTTTAGCGTTGCTTCTTAAAGGACACAAAATATTGATCTTTCACGTTGAGAACACCTTTGAATAACTGTTCTGATGAGACCTATTAGGTCGAAATACGTATCA